ATAGGATCGGACCACGGGGCTTGTATTTCTGTGACATTTGGATCAAATTGGGGCCCTATAAAAACGCTCTATTTTGCACTCGAGTGTATAGGCATCGTTTTTCAAAAATAATGGAGATGGGCTTCGTGACTGCTTTAAGGGGTGATCTTCTTCGGATTGAAATTTTTCCCAAAATTCATCAGATTACCCTAAAAAATTGAGCCAAGAAAAGACAGATAATGAAATAAGCTTGAATTTGATGTGTGCCTCGAACACCTTAATTGGAGATTGCGAGTATTAATTTGTTCTAAATTTCTGAAATGGGGGCATTTTAATAGCTAATGCGCGCAAATGCTATCCGAAAACTTTTTCATGGAAATGCATACATTCCATACCGGATGTCTTTTTCATTGTGGACCATGTGAAAGTTTGAGCCTCGCATAATATGCAATTTGACCCTTCGTGAATTCGAGACGGAGCCTGAGCAAGTGACGTGAATTGAACATTTACAAAACAGATAATAATTGCCCCTTTTATTAACTTTCATTTCTTTTCCTCACTTTTTCTTTTGAAGCAGGGGAACAAAAGCGGGGAGTGGGAGAGAAGGAAGTTTTTCTTTTCGTAAACAAAATCTGGAAAAGGAAAATACACTAGGATTTAATAAAGGAAGACGAAGGGGGAAAAATTACATAAGAAATCACTTATAAAATAAATAAAAGATGAGTGTCAAGTTGGCCCAGTGGGTTCGAACCCCAACCCTAGAGTTGGAGTGGAGAGAGAATTTGCTTTTGACTCATATTCCGATCCACTGAGCTACGGCTCACCTCGAGGCTCAACATATCCATGGGAAATTGGTTTATTATACGTAAACTGCCGATGGTGCAATGACCAAATCTGATGCAAGTTCCTGCAACACGCATACCCGCAATTGCATAGCGCCATCATGCGACGAAAAAGTGTCATTCTCCGCGGGAGCAGATTTTGTTTCGTTCCAATACTCAATTGAAATTAAATTATTTATGTAGAGCTAGAAAAAGAAACAACTAGAAAGAAAGTATTTGGATCGTAACTTTGTATCACTAAGGCCTGAAACGCAGGACAATGTTAACGATAACATGTCACTAGCCCCGCCCCTGCAAACAGGGGGCTGGGAAGGACTGATGGGTGCAGGCCAGTAAATCGGTCCGAAATTGGCTACGCCGGCCAAATCACGATTTAAATGCCCTCAAATTCTTCAGTATGTAAGCATGTTGTGGGCCATGATGAACTTGAGGGTTTATAAACAGGGCGTTGGAAAAGACTGACGCTGGTGTAAGCCAGTAAATCGGTCCGAAATTGCCTACGCCGGCCAAATCACGATTTGCATGCCATCGAATTCTTCAGTATGTGAGCATGTCGTGGGCCATGAACTTGAGGGTTTGTAAAAAAAGTAATAAAATAAGTGTCGAAGCCGTGCATAGGATCGGATGCGAGTATTAATTTGTTCTAAATTTCTGAAATGGGGGCATTTTAATAGCTAATGCGCGCAAATGCTATCCGAAAACTTTTTCATGGAAATGCATACATTCCATACCGGATGTCTTTTTCATTGTGGACCATGTGAAAGTTTGAGCCTCGCATAATATACAATTTGACCATTCGTGAATTCGAGACGGAGCCTGAGCAAGTGACGTGAAATTGAACATTTACAAAACAGATAATAATTGCCCCTTTTATTAACTTTCATTTCTTTTCCTCACTTTTTCTTTTGAAGCAGGGGAACAAAAGTGGGGAGCGGGGGAGAAGGAAGTTTTCCTTTTTTGTAAAGAAAAAGCTGGAAAAGGAAAATACACTAGGATTCAATAAAGGAAGAAGAAGGGGAAATTAAAAGATTACATAAGAAATTACTTATAAAATAAATAAAAGATGAGTGTCGAGTTGGCCCAGTGGGTTCGTACCCCAACCCTAGAGTTGGAGTGGAGAGAGAATTTGCTTTTGACTCATATTCCGATCCACTGAGCTACGGCTCACCTCAACATATCCATGGGAAATTGGTTTATTAAACGTAAACTGCCGATGGTGCAATGACCAAATCTGATGCAAGATCCTGCAACACGCATACCCGCCATTGTATAGCGCCATCATGCGACGAAAAAGTGTCATTCTCCGCGGGAGCAGATTTTTTTCGTTCGAATACTCAATTGAAAGTAAATTATTTATGTGGTGCTAGAAAAAGAAATGAACTAGAGAAAGAAAGTATTTGGATCGTAACTTTGTATCACTAAGGCCTGAAACGCACGACAATGTTAACGATAACATGTCACTAGCCCCGCCCCTGCAAACAGGGGGCTGGGAAGGATTGATGGGTGCAGGCCAGTAAATAGGTCCGAAATTGTCTACGCCGGCCAAATCACGATTTAAATGCCCTCAAATTCTTCATTATGTAAGCATGTTGTGGGCCATGATGAACTTGAGGGTTTGTATAAAATAACAAATACGTGGGTGGCAGCCGTGCACAGGACTGTGAGCTTGTAGTTCTGTGCAATTTGGATGAAATTAGGCAGGCCTAAAAGCGCTCTATTTTGCAATGGAGTGTAGGCATCGTGTTTTTAAATGGCGACGGGCTTCAGGACTACTTTAAGGGGTGACCATCTTCGGATGGCGATATCTCCTAAAATCGTGGGTCAGAAAATAGGTCCGAAATTGCCTACGCCAGCCAAATCACGATTTGCATGCCAATTCTTCAGTATGTGAGCATGTCGTGGGCCATGAACTTGAGGGTTTGCAATTAAAGGGGGAAGCCGTGCACAGGATCGGACCACGGGGCTTGTATTTCTGTGACATATTTGGATTAAATTGGGGCCTTATAAAAGCGCTCTATGTTTTTGTATAGGCATCGTTTTTCAAAAATAATGAAGATGGGCTTCGTGACTGTTTTAAGGGGTGATTTTCTTTGGATTGAAATTTCTCCCAAAATTCATCAGATTACCCTCAGAAATTGAACCAAGAAAAGAAAGATAATGAAATAAGCTTGAATTTAATGCGTGCCTCGAACACCTTAATTGATTGCGAGTATTTGTCCTGAATTTCTGAAGTGGGGGAATTTTAATAGCTAATGCGCGCAAATGCTATCCGAAAACTTTTTTATGGAAATGCATACATTCCATTCCGGATGTCTTTTTCATTGTGGACCATGTGAAAGTTTGAGCCTCGCATAATATGCAATTTGACCATTCGTGAATTCGAGACGGAACTTGAGCAAGTGACGTGAATTGAAAATTTACGAAACAGATAATAATTTGCCCTTTTATTAACTTTCATTTCTTTTCCTCACTTTTTCTTTTGAAGCAGGGGAACAAAAGCGGGGAGTGGGAGAGAAGGAAGTTTTTCTTTTCGTAAACAAAATCTGGAAAAGGAAAATACACTAGGATTTAATAAAGGAAGACGAAGGGGGAAAAATTACATAAGAAATCACTTATAAAATAAATAAAAGATGAGTGTCAAGTTGGCCCAGTGGGTTCGAACCCCAACCCTAGAGTTGGAGTGGAGAGAGAATTTGCTTTTGACTCATATTCCGATCCACTGAGCTACGGCTCACCTCGACATATCCATGGGAAATTGGTTTATTATACGTAAACTGCCGATGGTGCAATGACCAAATCTGATGCAAGTTCCTGCAACACGCATACCCGCAATTGCATAGCGCCATCATGCGACGAAAAAGTGTCATTCTCCGCGGGAGCAGATTTTGTTTCGTTCCAATACTCAATTGAAATTAAATTATTTATGTAGAGCTAGAAAAAGAAACAACTAGAAAGAAAGTATTTGGATCGTAACTTTGTATCACTAAGGCCTGAAACGCAGGACAATGTTAACGATAACATGTCACTAGCCCCGCCCCTGCAAACAGGGGGCTGGGAAGGACTGATGGGTGCAGGCCAGTAAATCGGTCCGAAATTGGCCACGCCGGCCAAATCACGATTTAAATGCCCTCAAATTCTTCAGTATGTAAGCATGTTGTGGGCCATGATGAACTTGAGGGTTTATAAACAGGGCGTTGGAAAAGACTGACGCTGGTGTAAGCCAGTAAATCGGTCCGAAATTGCCTACGCCGGCCAAATCACGATTTGCATGCCATCGAATTCTTCAGTATGTGAGCATGTCGTGGGCCATGAACTTGAGGGTTTGTAAAAAAAGTAATAAAATAAGTGTCGAAGCCGTGCATAGGATCGGATGCGAGTATTAATTTGTTCTAAATTTCTGAAATGGGGGCATTTTAATAGCTAATGCGCGCAAATGCTATCCGAAAACTTTTTCATGGAAATGCATACATTCCATACCGGATGTCTTTTTCATTGTGGACCATGTGAAAGTTTGAGCCTCGCATAATATACAATTTGACCATTCGTGAATTCGAGACGGAGCCTGAGCAAGTGACGTGAAATTGAACATTTACAAAACAGATAATAATTGCCCCTTTTATTAACTTTCATTTCTTTTCCTCACTTTTTCTTTTGAAGCAGGGGAACAAAAGCGGGGAGTGGGGGAGAATGAAGTTTTCCTTTTTTGTAAAGAAAAGCTGGAAAAGGAAAATACACTAGGATTTAATAAAGAAAGAAGAAGGGGGAAAAAGATTACATAAGAAATTACTTATAAAATCAATAAAAGATGAGTGTCGAGTTGGCCCAGTGGGTTCGTACCCCAACCCTAGAGTTGGAGTGGAGAGAGAATTTGCTTTTGACTCATATTCCGATCCACTGAGCTACGGCTCACCTCGACATAGCCATGGGAAATTGGTTTCTTTATACGTTAACGGCCAATGGTGCAATGACCAAATCTGATGCAAGTTCCTGCGAATTTCTTTTCCGTAGGCGGCATGCTCCCAATCATGAATAATTCAATAGTTTGATCGGGCCAGCATGTTTATTCATGAAAGAGAACAATGATGCGCCCTTCGGCCCCCAGGCCAATGATCGGAATGACCTTTGCCCCTTGCCACGCCGAGCTATAAAACATGTAAAAAGAAATACAAACTTTGACCTTAGACATGCGTATGGTACTGTATAGGTAAGCTTAGGTATTTATTTAGGAAAGAAGATTACGTGGACGTAAGCGAGGTTTCATAGATTACATGTCATGACAGTTTGTAGGTATGGCGTCAAACCTGTCCATTCCTCGGCGTCTGCCGATTCTTCTAGTTGCAGACGGTATTCTCCTGCCTGGTTCATCAATGAGAATTCCAGTTAATTCACAAAGGAAGTAAGTTGCGAAACCGGGTCCCTCAAAAATAAAATGAGTCAACAAGCGTCTTAGAACTGTCAACTAGCCCCACTAGTGTGGCCGCGGTATGCTGCGCTGAACCTCAGAGGTTCAGCGCAGCATACCGCGGCCACTCTAGTGGGGCTGTCACGCCCCAACTATCGCATCGGTCCCAACTATAGTTGGGACTGTCCCAACTATAGTTGGGCCTGTCCCAACTGTAGTTCCACAGTTGGGCTGGCCCAACTATAGTTGGGCCTGTCCCAACTGTAAGTTCCACTGTTGGGCTGGCCCATCTATAGTTGGGCCACTCCGATCTTTTTATTTTGCGGTGTCCCAACTATAGTTTACATTGATGTACAACTGTAAAACATTCCCTACAGCTCTGATACACGTCTGACTTTACTGGGGACCACTGAAATTAGTTATTGATGGGGCGAATCTATAGTTGGGCCACTCCAATCTTTTTATTTTGCGGTCCCAACTATAGTGTACATTGTTGTACGATTATAAAACATTCCCTACAACTCTAATACACATCTGACTTTACTTGGGACCAATGAAATTATCTATGGGTGGGGACCATCTGTAGTTGGGCCACCGCAATATTTTTATTTGGCGGTCCCAACTATTTACATTGATGTACGACGACTATAAAACATTCCCTACAGCTCTGTTACATACTGTCCGACTTTACTTGGGACCTTTGACATTAGCTATGGGTGGGGCCCATCTATAGTTGGCCGGCCATGGCAATCTTTGAATTTTGCAAAATGTTGCTGGACAATCAACCCAGCAGCTGGACAACTCATCCAACTAGGCAGTACCACGTGACCGGCCAGCCTTGCGGCATGCGCATGCACGACGAATACACGGTGCCAGCGCCGCGGAACATTTAATCCAACAAGATCTATCAAGGATGAAGCATCCGGCGCAACTCCAGTCCTAACTATAGTTGGGCCGACCCAACTGCCGCACTATAGTTGGGACAGTCCCAACTATAGTTGGGACCGATGCGATAGTTGGGGCGTGACAGGGCCATGGTGGGGCTAACTGTCAACAAGCGTGAACGGTCGTCAACCCAGCGTCAACAAATGTTGTATTACGTTTTGGAACATCAAAATACGCTGTAGAAATAGTGACAAAGGACACCTTCAGCATACGAAATAAAGTTAAAATTATTTAAAAAGTTGTTTTTTTGGGCGATCGTGAAGTGTAGGGCCCCTGTTTTATTTTGATCAAATTAGAGTCAAAAATGTTTTTTTATTGCTCACAAATCACCTTTACAATCAAAAGCAGACTTTTTTCAATTCTAATGACACCCGTTTTGCAATTCTGAACAGATTCTTGGGGTAGAAATCACAATTTTGCGGTGATCGCCACCTTTATTTTCGGGTCGCGTGTTGTCGCCGCGCTGTCATCGTCATTTTACCCCCAAATGTCCCTCATAAGATCAAAATGTAAAATGAGTAACCGTGGAATTGCCCATGTGCTTTTCATTTGATTGTTGTCCTTGGGGTGTTGAAATGTAGAAAGATGGTATACCAGCTTCAGACTAGCTTTGAAGATCTACATGTAGGTCTTTTAGGTCCCAGTTATTAGTGATTGGAGTTTGGTGTTTGTACCGGTATGATGTAAAAAGTCATGTACCGGGTAGTTTGACTCCATATGGGGCGTGCGGCATTTGTGTTTGTCAACATTTCGTTCTTGTGCTCTTTTGACAGTATGAACTTGGTGAAGAGTCGCATTCTGAGGCATAACACTCTGAGTAGCACAGTCATTGGTGTTGTGCCCAGGGAATCTACAAATGAGGTGGGTTACAATGTATGTATTCATGGCCATTTAAAGAGAAAATACAACATTTGCAAACATCAAAAAATAAAAGTACCAAATTATTTTGAAATACCTTGCCGGACTGTTAATGAATGACAGTCTTATATGCATCCTGTAAATTATGGCACCTGGTATACTGTCATTTTTTAAAAAAGTGGTATTTTTGTATCAATTTCCAACGCTGGTCGGCCAACCACTGATACAAAAAAAATGGCTTTTTTCAAATACTGGCCCCAATTTACCATCTTTAGTTAGTCCGCATTTGTTTGAAATCGATTACACACCTATAAAGGAGTACAAGCCAGCTAGACTGGTTCCCTAACCTTACAATTCCCCAATGTCTATAAATTGCTCCGTTTCATCTTAAATGGAGTCAGGGAACCAGACTAGTACAGGAAAATTATTGTTTTTCCTGGTTTTCAAGCATCTACGAACCCAAAACGTCAAAAAAGTCAGTGTAACAATATTTGCTGTATATTACCAACCCCCCAAATCCATCCATTTCTGAAAATTACAGCAAAAGCAAATGATGTACAATGTATATTCCCTTTAAGTATTTTATTCATATACATATGAAGACATCATAAATGGACTTGCTTATAGCACTTGCTGAGACATTGATAATATGTATTGTAATAATGTAAACATTTTAGTACCAAAAAACTGCAGTGGAAACTCAAACCGAAATGCGTCAATTCAAAGGTTGAATTGGGGAATTTGTGGTTGAAAGAATGACTTTTAAGTGAGAAACACAGAATTTTACCACTAGAACTCTTCAGGTGTAGGTTTTTCTTTTTCTTTAAAAAAAAAAGAATATCCAAGAGAAATACAAATCACAAAGTATTTGTAACTTTGTTTTAATTTATCCCCAAAAAATCCTACAAGTTATACATATTTGAATGCCCGTTTTGGTAAAAAAAAAAAGAAGCAAATGTTTGTAAATTACTTTGTAGTGGGATACATGTACTGAATGGTGTTTTTTTTTAAGAAGGAAAGCAGACAAACAGTCAGTCATGTTAAAGTTATCTTGACTTGTTGAAATCATTGAACATATTGTAGATCATGTTAAAATCAAATTATAAATGAACAGAACAACTGTGTTTTCATACACGTAGGGGATTGCTATGTATGTAGTTTTTTGTTTACTTTAACTCTTTCAGTGCCCGCGAAATTTGAAAAGTTTAACCCTAAAGTGCCCAACTTCGAGCGTTTTTTTTGTAATTGTTCAAAATTCTGTAAACAAAAAGTAAATAAGTTTTACTCACTAAATTTGTTGTTGTTGCTCTGTGGTATATCCTTGGTATATTGGAAAGTCAAAAGTAGTCACGTACATAGTGATACACCCTGAAACACTGTCCTGCACACAGGGGAATTCCGCACTTTTTGCAGAAAATACGAGTGTCAGTGCTGCGCCCTCTCGCAAGAACTTGAATGAAACAAATAAATACAGGTCGTACCTGAATGAAAATGATATTATTAGAAAGAGCGAGAGTGCCCCCCTGTGATAACATGCTTACTCTACCTGTCTACCTTGTACATGTACGAGGTTTGGCGATTTTAAGTATGAACATTACCTTGTACATGTACGAGGTTTGGCGATTTTAAGTATGAACATTACCTTGTACATGTACGAGGTTTGGCGATTTTAAGTATGAACAGTACCTTGTACATGTACGAGGTTTGGCGATTTTAAGTATGAACATTACCTTGTACATGTACGAGGTTTGGCGATTTTAAGTATGAACATTACCTTGTACATGTACGAGGTTTGGCGATTTTAAGTACGAACATTACCTTGTACATGTACGAGGTTTGGCGATTTTAAGTATGAACATTACCTTGTACATGTCAAGGTTTGGCGATTTTAAGTATGAACATTACCTTGTACATGTACGAGGTTTGGCGATTTTAAGTATGAACATTACCTTGTACATGTACGAGGTTTGGCGATTTTAAGTATGAACATTACCTTGTACATGTACGAGGTTTGGCGATTTTAAGTACGAACATTACCTCGTACATGTACGAGGTTGGCACTGTCGAACTAACAAATACATTGTACAGTCGAGTCTCGTTATAACAAACTCGTTCGGACCTAGCCAAATTGTTTGTTATATCAGAATTTTGTATCAAGAGGAACGTCAGTCCCATTCATTGTGCACATAAATGCACAGTCGGGACCAAGGCTTTATGTTTGTTATAACCAGAATTTTGTGTTAACAAACGAGTTTGTACTAACGAGAGTCGACTGTATACCTCGTACATGTACGACTTTGGCACTGAAAGAGTTAATGAATGATTCAGCATTGTTTCGTAATGCCAAGATTGACAATCATTTGATTATCAATTCATTGATTTGTACAGACTGACGACTTCACTGCTATACATCACATTGGCACTGCTGCAGTCGTGGTGCAGGTGACCGGTACCAACTGGCCTCGACCAGCATACACTCTTCTTGTGACTGGTTTGTGCCGTTTCAAGCTGGAGAAACTCCTGCAGGAAACGCCCTATCCCGTCGCTCAGGTTGTGCAGCTGGATAAGTTGCCTGGACAAGGGACAGGTTAGTCAACCCTTTTAACTGCAACTTTAGGCGCTCATCACTTTTTCAAGTAATTTTTCAAAGTCATGGTAAGGTAAAAAAACACCTCAAGTCCAAGCCCACAACTTTAATGAACAATACCAACATGTACATGTAGTCTTCTGATGTGGCATTTCCAGCACAAACAAGAAAGCTTGTTCATTTTGCTTTATACATGTACATTTATGTAGATATGGAAGAGTGGAACACTTGGGAAAGTCTTTCAAATATGAGTAAAAGTTGTGCTGATTTGAATCAAAAATTTTTGGGCACTATTGTGGTAACCAAGGTCTGCGACCTTGGTTACCACAATAGAAGCATGTACAAAAGAGCTTTGTATTTTTTTAACTTCACGTCTCATTGTCTAGTAGCGGGTTTCAATAATTTGGGTTTTGCTACCATTGTCCATTCCACTGATCTCTTCTGCCCATCGTTTGATCATGGTTTGATCAGCCCAGAATTCCCATTTTAGCAGGTAAATGCACCACTGCATATCGCTTGTTTACAGAGGAATATCTAGCCGACTCAACCCCAGATTTTATTAGAGAACTGGGGGCAGTTGGGAGTTTGCAGGTAATCGAATACCCAGCTCCACGCCTGACTGCCAATCCTCTGGAGAATTTGTGGAACGAGCTGAAAAGGCAAATCCTTTGCCAAGTTTGGCCACGGAATAAAGCCAAGTTCCTCATTGGATTTGGTATGGCCTGGATCATTAGATCCTTGCCAATCTGTTGATGTCAATGAGCTGGCGGTGCCAAGCTGTAATCAATGCTGGAAGAGCTTTTACTCAGTATTAACTTTTCATCACTTTTGCATTCTATGGGCGCCACCTTCTTGGATTTTGTGATGCCCCATTGTCTGAGAAGTTACTAAGTAATGTGTAAACTATTCCATAATCTGGAACTGGTTCCTGACGTCAACGTTGGGTACCCGGGTATCCAGTTCCGATTCCGGTACACAGCAGTATGTTGGAAACATTGAGTTCAAACAGGTTCATCTCAGAACCATCGCAAACTCAAAAAAGAGATTTAACTTCACATCGTGTTCTGCAAACTTACATGTACCGGTACCTTGCTGTTAATTTCACCTTGCAAACTTTCCATTCTTATATTTTCATATTGCTGACAATAAGCCAGTTCGGTATTTCAATGACCCAAGGTCGTTCAGGATAACATCCGCTGACGTGATGTTACGCGATGTTGCGCGCAGGCCCATTCTGCTTGTAATTTACCTGCAAGTATTGTGTGCCCTCGTTCATGCACCTTCGAAAAGTTCGATTAATGACCCGTGACCCATATCATTGTGCACATGCACAATACTGAACTGGCTTATTACAGCAAAAAGGGAGTATATGTGTACATGTGCCTGTAATATGAGAAGTAGACATCTTTATAAAGAAATATTTATATAGAAATATTTTTGTTCAATTGTGAACTAGTAAATCGTGCACAAATGATAGACATGTTATCTTCTTTGGTAAATAAGGAATAAATTTCTTCAAATATATTAAGAAATATTTACTTGGAGAGAAGTAATTTTTTACCCAAAGTCTATTGTTTCATTAGATATTTGATAATCTCAAAAAATTGTATCGGGGTAATTTGCACTGAAAATTTCCTATTAAATATTTTCGCTGTCTCTTTCAAAATGAAAACTTATCAAAATATTTTAGATTAGTATTATTAACAACATTTTTTTCCCTTACCCTTTCTCTTACTGGAAGATTTTGGTGATGACCATCCAGTCATGATGAATTTCAGAGAGCAAGCAGGCAATCTGGTGGATTTACTAGACATTGCTGTTCCTGTTGTTGCTAAACTAAAGGTAGGATTTTTTCCCTTCAAAGTGTCAAACCTTTTGAAGGGATTTTCAGGTCATTTTCGCCCTGAAGTCATTTGTGTATATATGCTTTCATGAAACGTATCGGTAGCATGGGAAAAGTGTTGAAGCCATTGAGTTCACAACAAAGCCGCCTAATTTCAGGTGAGTATAAACTGAGGGCTGTAAAACATATAAAACTTTTACTGGAAATTAACCAGAAACTGCTTCTGTTTGGCTATGCTCCTTAACTGTTCTATTTAAAGGGACACTAGGTCCTGCAACAGCCCAGTTGGGCTACAAAACGCGCTTTGAACGAGATGATGTTAATCGGAAATAACATTTAAAAGTAGGATATAAACATCCACACAACTATCCTTTCAAAACTGGGCATTTTTGTGTTATTCCTGTATTATGCGTGTGAGAACAAATTTCGGGGTCCACTTTTGCGACCCCATAAATTCGAGCTGTTTGGATACTAGTTGTGATTTCATTCGTAAAGTGTTCGCCTTTTGCGGAGGTTGAGGAAACCACTTTTTTTTTGCATTGATGGTGATTGGTCACCGCTGTTCCCGAGACACACAACGTGTATATCGTACACTGAGAACGACACGAAAAACGTATTCGTGCTCCGTCGTGTCCGATGTAAACAAGCAGGTTTTTTTTCGTCTTTTCTCGGGAACTGTAAGACATTAGGTTGGTTTCCTTTCAACCAGATGTTTGAAATAGGATAAGTAAACAATCTAAAACATAAAATTTTCGGGATTTCAGGACCTAGTGCCCCTTTAATGGGAAGTGCCTAAATTGAGTAGTTTCTACGAAGAGTGAATGTGTTTTTTTTCCTAATGTGTTACCACACATATATATTAACAATGAAAAGATGATGCTTAACCACAAGAACATGTCGGCATGAAGTCATGAAAATGCATGTTGGTTTCAATTCACTCCCATTAAAGGTATAGTCCATCGTTTGTAATATGTGCATTTTGTTCGTTTGAAGCAACAAAAGTGCTCAAGATCTAAAGAAGGGTGCTGAGCAACTAACCTGATGAAGTTTCAGCTCAGCTTTAGCTGTATATTTCGAGAAAAACAACATTCTAGGATCTCGATTCAAATCAAAAGTTGCTGAATCATGTTGGACCTGAATTCAGCGTCCGATACACGTTCTCACTGAGCCGATTGCAGCTACGCGATGTCGTGATCCGACGAATTATAGCAACCACGCACGCGTGTGCGTCGTGCCAATGATTGCACGCGCTTCGCCGAATAACAAAACAAAATACTAATTTGAATTTCCTATGGTGTTTCTTAAGAAGCACCGTTGGAAAGGCCTTCTTTTGTTGATTTCTTAAAAATGACAGCTTGCCAGAAAGAATAATTTCTCAGGGAGTTTAGTCCTCTTACTATCTTTCAACCAAGTATGTTTTTTAACAATAATTACGCCAGTTACTTTTTGGATAGCCTCTGCAAATGGACTCTGGCTTTAAACTCCTATAAAGAAATGCTGCAATTGTAGAGGACCATCTGCTGGCCAATAGACACAAATTGTTCAGTATTGTGAGTTGCTTGGTTGTTAATAGAATTGCTCTAACGGTTTGATGCATCCTTGTTTTGCTTCAATTTGCCAGAAACTTCTTGAAAGTCTTCCCACTGCAAGGCTTCTTGACATATTTGCCTCCATTGTCAAAGCTTCTTACAGTGAGAAACTGCAGGTAAGTACATGCACCTGTACCTGAATGTGAAAGATGGGTCAATTTGGTGGAGTCGGTATATATACACATACATACTGTCTGATATTCATTGCAATCTTAATGACGTATACATATAAAATACATTAACAAATACCTTGGAGAGTTGATAGCTTCTAATTGGTTGAGACTTGAGCACGTGGGGTGTATTAACATGTGAGGTAAAGACTGGCTTTTAAGAAAAAGCGAATAAATGTTTTTTTTTTCTCCGGACACTTGGCCTCCAAAAATCTATGCCCCCCTATTTTGCAATTTCATACCATCTTTATGTTACTATACATGTAAATTGATTATAATGTAATTAGCCTTAATAATTTAGGCAATACTACAAATCTGCATGTGATTTTAAGTGTTTGTAGTGTATTTCGAGTGATTCTGAGGAATTTGGCAGATTTTTTATAAATCTGACAGATTTTTGAAGTGTATTTAGCAGAATTTTGCCATAACCTTATGGTCACCCCGTATTGATTGTTCCTATGCCAAGGTCCTGGATGCTATAGACCTCGAAGAACGCATCAAGAGGACTCTTCCTCTCCTTGCAAGGCAGATAGAGGGACTGAAGCTCTTACAACGTACCCGAGCAAACTCTGGTCCTCATACATTGAGAGACAGGCAAAACACCCTCGCTTTAAAGAATGTATTGAAGAAAGTCAACATCGCAGACATGGAAGAAGAGAATGAATTGGATGAAATCACGGACTTGGAGCACAAGATCAGGTCAGTACCCTATGAAGAAGATTGAAATTAAGATTGTTAATACGGTGAAATTGTGATAAGTCAAACTCTGATAACTCGAAACTCTGTTTATCTCAAAGCGATACTTCATATTCATTCCCGTCAAGAGAATAGGATATTACAGTATCGATTATTCTTAACCGACGAGCAGTTAACTGTAACGTCATCCCCATTCCCCCCCCCCCTCCCGACTTCAGAGAGAAAGAGACGCGGAATACATTAAAGGGTTAATTAAGTATAATTTGTTTGGTTCTCTTGATTTTTTAAATAAAACAATTTTCTACATCCTAGCCCATTTAATTCTGGACTCTCCGTTAAATCCTGTGCATTTCTTGGGAAAATTTAATACGAATTACGCTTAGTTTTTCTTATTTTTAAAGGAATAAGGTCAAGATTACCAACAGCCCTTGGTCTCCAGAATAATATTAATATAAAATAATAGGCCTTGCGTTGTTGTTGTAATATGAATTTTTAACATGTTTAATTTAAATTTGATGATTTTGGTACTTGAATCGGGCCTTGTTGAACTTGAGACCATGGACTAGCTGACAGCTCTGCAAACTCATAAGAGTCATGTAAGAATGCATCCCTACACAAAAGACATATCATTCTGCATGTGCATTGGGAGCCAAATTATTTGCAACTGAAGGCACAGATAGCAGCATACAGTTCGCATCATTTTTGTCATCAATATTGGCTATTGATTTCTTATCCTATTTAACCCTAACCGCCCTGAATCCTTCAAAATCCTCTTTGCCAAAGTGGATGAATTTGGAGCATTGAGGTTACATGGCAAAACTGCGTTACTGATTTTGTAGGATGCACTTTGTCAAGGTCTTGGGCTGGACCTTGTGTTGTTTTTGCTCAGCCATGCATAAATATGGGCCTGGATTATACTTGAAATCCTCTGTACTGCTCCAGGATGTCACTGGCCAAGCCTCCACATATTGACAGTCACTGCCGCAGGATTTTGCAGGATTCAGGCAGTGGTCACCCCTCCACGGACCATATTCAAAAAAATAATGGAGGAATTTGCAGGATTGAGGCTATCAATGCTATTTTTCCATGAGGCCAATTGGAGGATTTTGCAGGATTGAGGCTACATCCTAGCAAAAAGGCCTAGGGAGTTAGGGTTAAGGATGGAAATGCACTTACTTTATATTAATTTGTTTGTCTTGGCTTTTAGAAAAGCTGACATGCCACCTCATGCCCACAAAGCTTGTCATAAGGAGCTGAAACGTTTGAAGAAGACTCCAACGGCCATGCCTGAATATGGGCTGATCCGTAACTACCTGGAGCTCATGGTAGAGTTGCCTTGGTCCAAGCAATCTACTGATACACTGGACATTAAACAAGCAAGGTTGGTATCACTATTTTTGGAATACTACACACAATCAAATCGTCGCTTTGCTCACGAAAAGACAAAAACCTCAAAATTTGACAAAAGTTCATCCCGAGATAATCGCATTTGAAGTTATTCATTTTTTCAAAAGACATTTTTGACTACTTTGCAGTAACATAATTCGGAAATGTTTACACTGTCCAATAGCTTATGATTTGCTCTTTGCTAATTCATAGTTTTCTTGTTAAAAATAGTTCTTAATTAAACAATAATTTGGGTCCCATATTTTCCCCATGACTTTGTACACAGTTTTTGTCACTTCGTGGGAACATGAAACCGCAGAGGATTTACTTATTTGTACTTTTGTCGACGCAACAAACATGTTACTTTTACGCGTCCTACGACAGTTGAGCGCGTGCGCGTCTGTTCTTTTCCAACATCGTTCGCGCGCGCGTGTATGCTCCCATCCTGACGCGTGTAGACCAATGTATAATTCCTCTGGCCCTGTTCAAGAGGTGACTTGTTGTCACTTCGTGAAAACAATTTACACTTTTTTACACTTCAAAAAAACGAAAAACACGGATTTCAGGCTTTTTGTCAAATGTTTGTGTACAATAATTAAGAAAGTAAACAATATTTTGCTTTGAAACTTGGTCAAATTGTTCCTTGAGACAACTACAATAAAAAGGCTAGTAAAACTCAAAATCAAACAATTATCGATTTTCAAGGTTTTTATCAGTTCCTGAGCAAAGCGACGAAATCAAGAACACCATGTACTGTTCAAGACCAATTTTATCTCTGAAAACATGATAAAAAATGTAACTGAAAAATAATTTATTCAAAACGAAATTTTCAGTTAAGACCAACATTGCAATCAAGACTCAACTGTCATGGAAGCCCGCATTATTTATATGCCCAAATTTCAATTTAACATTTTCAAGGTGCAATATTAGTTTCTGAAGCGTCCGTGGTGTGCTCCAATCAAACGTGAACATGTTTGTGTTCGTTAAACCAAAACTGGAATGATAATGTCATTGAAACAAATGTCAAAAGCGCGGCGCTCTGTAAGCTAATCCTACAGTTGTCATTGTTTGGATAGCAGGTTTTAAAATACTCAAAAAAGTAACGGTGACTGGAGAGGTGCCCAAAAAAAGTAGGAAACGGGCAATATCAGCCCTAATGGCCTGGACTGGAAACGAGACAGCCAGTCTATCACCCACAGTAAAACCGTTAATGAAAAGTATCGGCCCTATTTTTGTCCATTCTAAACGACATAAAAAAAGTAAAAGGTACAGATCCCATAGCCATTACTGGCCGTAGGGGCAGTGGGATGTTAGAGGTCCACTGTGTCTTGGGCGCGGCATATGAGTGGCAGTGCCCAGTCCTCTCCTTTCGCCGTCTTACCTTCCCTGAACGAATCAGGTACCCATTTTACTGTTGGGTCGTCAGAGAGAGTTTTCCAGTTTTTGGTCCAAATGGGATTCGTACCACCAACCTTCGTACCACCAACGCTCTAACCGCTCGGCTATGAGGCCCCTCTGACATATCTATGCCAAATATTTGGTGTACTTTATAATCATCAAAGCACAAATTATACAAGGCACATGTACATGTAAATATCACAAAAACCATACCAAATCAGACTACTCAACAGAATCCCACAATGATTATCACAACTTAACGGCTATTTACAAAACGGTGCCTGTTTCAGTCTTCATCATAAAAATTCTTTCATATAGTCGATATAGCAATTAATCTGATAAACTCCAGGCAACAATCCGAGGGGGGGGGGGTTAAAAAAAACACCCCCCAGGCTCTGTCAAAAAAAATGTTCATAGAAATTCCTTAAAAATAATGCGAAATCCCCCCCCCCCCCCTGTTCTGACACCAAGAAAAAGCAGACCCAGTTCCGTTTTTTTCAAGCAGACCCTGTGGCATCTCTGCTGTAAACCTCTCAGCATCATAATGATGCTGAAGGGGTTTTCAATAGGACTAAAAATAAGACTTTGGGTTGTAAAAGTAATCAATTTTCATCCTGCACACAAGTACTGTACTTCAAAAAGAGAAACATTTCACAGTATAGCCTACTGTGCAATTACCCTTCATTTGTGAAATTTGTTTATTATTTTTGACAAATTGCACAAATGAAGAGTAGTAAAATGTTTCCCTGTTTGAAGTACTTGAAAATGACTACTTTTACATAATTGGCATTTTCTCAGAACCCAAAGTGCTATTTTCATGATTTTTTTCAGTATTTGAAAGAAAACGCTCTCAGCTTTAATCTGATAACCGATACATAAAAATCCACTGATCCCTTTCTCTTTTAAAGGCAAACGTATGGGAATGCATTTTTTCCCGGTAACCCTGTATTTACTTCCGGCAGGCGTGATTTGGATGTTGATCACTATGGATTGGACAAACTGAAGAGACGTGTGGTAGAATACCTGGCTGTTCGACAATTGAAGAATAGCCTAAAGGGTCCAATTCTGTGCTTTGTTGGCCCACCTGGAGTTGGCAAGACAAGTGTGGGTCGCTCTATTGCACACACTTTGGGACGAACCTTTCACAGGTACAGTATACCTTTAATTCAGGCGATTCACAATGCAGTGCGCCACCAAGGGTTTGCCATGGAGAGTTCATTTTTCCCAGTGCATTGTGGGAGATGGTCGACAACTTTGCAGCGCAGGACATTTGAAATTGTTAGTTTTTCCAATCAGAAGTTTTGTAAGCGTATGATTCAAGTATCTGTTTGCCCTTTTGTTTTCTTTTTATCAATATGGTGTTTTTTGTAAGGCGGCAGAACGCTATGCCCAAATCTATAACAAATTAGCTCAAGTTGTCTACTGACACTCATTCAAATTGTTCATGTTTTGTTGGCCCTAAACTTCCCACAAATAGTTCAACGAAAAGCTCTTCATTTGGTTTTATTGTAGGATTTCTCTTGGAGGCTGTTGTGACCAATCTGACATTCGAGGTCACCGCCGTACCTACATTGGCTCCATGCCAGGGCGTATCATTCATGGACTGAAGCTCGTCGGGACAAACAACCCTGTCTTCCTCCTAGATGAGATTGACAAACTGGTAACTATGTCACTTAATAGAAGAGTTGTTTGAACTTTGCATGGTAAATCTGGGGTCTGTTCAAAAGTCTGACGCCTCATAGGTCCGACGCCTCATAAGTCCGACAAAATCACATCCCTTAACCAAATCAAGGCCCATAAGTCTGATGCTTCATAGGTCCGACGCCTCATAAGTCCGATGCCTCATAGCTCTGACTCCTCGTAGCTCAGACGCCTTGTAGGTCCGACAAATTAAATGCCTCGTTTTTCTGACGTCGGACTTATGAGACGTCGGACCTATGAGGCGGAATAAATAACTTTTATGCCTTATAAGTCCGACGCCTCATAAGTCCAAAATTGTGGACTTATGAGGCGTTGGACCTATGAGGCGTCGGACTTATGATACGGCCCTGTAAATCTCCTGAAGACGAGCAGAGCATACTGTTCAAAACGTTGAGACACTTTTCTCAGTACCGGTTCTCTTCAGAACCAACACTTTGTCACAAAAGAGATTTGTGGCGTACTCACAAACCTTCTTCCCTACTATTAAAGTTTTACCATGCCATATGTGAAATCATCTAGCAAGTTTTTGACACAATTTCATGAAAGTTTTCCATAATTATTTTCGTGGATCTTCGGTGAACAAGTTGACAAAGGCATTGAAAGAAAAATGGCATACCTCTTAGATTATTCAACTGAGTTTAGATAATAGTGTGATAAAGCAGATATACATGGGGTTTAAAACAGGCTTAGTGGTCTGGGGCCGACTTCACGAAATACTAAGACATGTCTTTGGAAGAATAACTTGTCCTAACTCGTGTCTTATCATGGGATCCATTTCACCAAACTTAAAATGCATTCCATACATCCTAAATTCGTAACTTAAGATCGGTTTAAGTGTTGTCTTATCTCTTGATAACGTGCATTGAGTTCTATATCGTCTGGAAATCAGTGCATTTTCTTTTTGTTAAAGGTGAGTTTCGGTCGCAGGGTATAGTTTTGCATCAGTTTCAAAGCTAATTTTAACGTAAGAGGAAGAAAACATCTGAAGAAACAGTTATGAGAAGATTACTGATGCATGGGAAATTTAAGTAATAACTTATTTCTTACTTACAAAATTAATGGAGATCAATGGACATGGACATTAATGGACATAGAGATCAAAGCAATGCTTATTAAGCACCTGACAGTGGCACACCCAGGATTTGGTTTGGAGGGGGGGCCTCAAAAAAATTTTGTTTACAAATTTGTTAAAAGTTGAATTCTTTTCAAAAAATTTTGCTTTGGTCGCAGAAAAAAATGTGTGTTTTTTTTTTGAGGGCCGGCCTATTTTGACGTTGGTGGCCAGACTTACTATTATACTACTCGAAAACGGGCCACATTCGTGTCACCAAGGTCAAATCGTGGGACTTTAAAAAAAGAATACAAAAAAAAATAAATTAACAACCGGGGGGGGGGGGGGGGGGGGGGGGGGGGGGGGGGTGCTTAAGCCCCCCGAGGGGGGCTCCCCCTTGGGTGGTCACTGAAGCACCATTGTAGCTGGCATACGGGGCATGCAGGTTCTCACGTCCGGTTTTAAATATCACTGAATGGTGTTTACACTGCAGATTGAGACCACCAACGTGATAATGGCCACTTGACCTATAGAAATAAGTAAACTGTCCTAGGACTAATGACTTCAGGTTGAAGGTGTATTATTAGTTATCCCGCGAGCGCGAGTGGAACACAGAATAATGTAGTGCGTCTGTGTCCCACATACCACGTGGCTGAAGGCCGAGTGGCATGTGGGACACAGACGCACTACATTTTTCGTGTTCCACGAGCGCGAGCGTGTTAACGAATTTATCTTCAAGCAAACTAGATGCGCAGTAAAGTTGGACCATCGCTTTACACGAACCTTTTAGCGGCTATAGCGCATGCAGCTGGAATGTCGCTCACATCTTGGAATAGCGCAATATGCAGGGTGCGATATGGTCCGTGCAATACAGCCTCATATCACACTGTTGTTGCCATGAATCGACCAATCAAGATCGAGGAGTCAAGTTTGCTTAGAGATAATGGTACCATGTATGTGAGGTAAATGGTTTATGCATGGTTACACACTCAGTGTAGTGTTGATCTTGTGAATTTGGAAACTTCATAACTGCCTTTTACACATACCTTTGCAGGGGAAGAGTATGCAAGGAGATCCTGCTGCAGCATTGCTTGAGGTTTTGGATCCTGAGCAGAATAATGCATTTACAGATCAGTATCCTTGCAAAAAGAACTTAATGCAAAGAAGAGTATTGTGTTCATATTTCGTGAGGTGATAGATGGTGGTTTGGGCAACATTTCTAATTTCTGAGGACAAAACTGCTTGACCTTCACTTCCCGTGTTACCGGAAGTGCAATGAAAAATAATATAACTTGAAAATGAAAGCATTTTACTACAGACATTTTACAAGCATTTTACAAACAAACTAAGTGCTTAATACTGAGAAATTCCAAAAAAACAAAAAAAAACTAAAAAAACCCCCAAACAGCATGATGACTTCGTCACTCGAAAGGGCACCCTCTAGCGACCCAAGACAGATAGATTTTTCAAATATTTAACAAGTGCGATTTAGTTGTAACTTGGTGTGTACCTAAAGTGGGATGTGTTATAGATGAAATTGATGTGATGTCATGATGACGTCATCACGTGACTATGAGAATGTCATCACACATTATATGCCAACGTTTATTTATAAACAGAACAACACATCCTTCCTTGATGGAACTTGAAACTTTACATGTCACATGTCGCCAAAAAAGCCGCTGAAACAGCCCTGTGTTTGTCCACAAACGTACAGTGGGGGCTGTGGTCCAATGGTAACGGTGTTTGACTCGTGTGCCGTGGTACACGGGTTCGAATCCTGGCCGTGGGAACATGGTGCTTGTGCTCTTGAGCAAGGCACTTTACCATTATTGCTTCGTCCTTCGGATGGGACATAAGGCCGTAGGTCCCGTGTGTTGTGTAATGCACGTTAAAGAACCCAGTAACACTTGTCGCTAAGAGAAGGGGTTCGCCCCGGTGTTTCTGGCAGTGGCCGCAGCACCTTGTAAACCCTGGTGCCACACCTCCAGTTTAAATTCCCTAGGTGGAATATTTCGTAGGACCACCAACCAAGTACTAAGTATAAGTCTAGTTAATCTTTTCAACAGTTTTTACTATCATGTGTGGCTATTCCTCCATTATGTCAGAGATGTGGTCGGTGGTGAGACATATGATTGTCAGTTTGACTCCTTAGCCAGCTTTCTTCAGTTATCTCAATGTTCCCTTTGATCTTTCACAAGTTCTCTTCATCGCCACCGCTAATAGCACAGGAGACATCCCGCCAGCTCTGAAGGATCGAATGGAATTGATAAACGTCCCTGGCTACACGCAAGAGGAGAAGCTTCATATTGCCACACGCCATCTGATCCCAAAACAACTCAAGGAACACGGGCTGACTGCTGAACAGATACAATTCCCTGAAAACTCCGTCAAGATTATAAGTGAGTCATTTTAATTCAACATTTTGTGGCAGGGGAACTTCAAAAAAAAGAAATTAGCCTGAACATTCCCTTATGAAAATAGCAACACGCTAGTAGCATGCTTGACACACGAGTTGTTGGGTTTCATACCTGCAAGCTTGTAAAGTTTGAAATGTAATATGTACCAACAAAATTGAAAGCCTGAACTGTAGAGCAGTTTTAAAGAGTTAAAAAAAAAAACAAGAAAAAATCCAGTGCACATGCATGTGGACAAAACATAAATGAATACAATGAATCCATAATCTATGACATGGTAAGAATTTCGAGGATTTGTGTGACATAGAATTGTGTTTTTGTTTCCACGGCAGCAAAACATGTACATGTGCACAGAAGCGCGGTACCGAAATTGAAATTTGAACATGACCTCACATTTTCATGTTCGTGTTCGTGTTCGCTCATGTTCGTACATACAGATACAGTACATAACATTTTTTTCTGGATGTCTAGTGTCAATGACAAACACTGTCTGTATTGCGTAGTATCGGCATGCGCGGACTGCCATGTGCATGCTCTGGCAGTTAAAGGTATAGTCCATCATTTGTAATTTGTGCATTTTGTTCGTTTGAATCAACAAACGTGCTCAAAATCTAAAGAAGGGTATTGAACAACTAACCTGATGAAGTTTCGGCTCAGCTTCAGCTGTATATTCCGAGAAAAACAGCATTCTAGGATCTCAATTTCAAACCAAAAGTTGCTGAATCATGTTTTGAACATGGCCTGAATTCAGCGTTTGAGACATGTTTTCACTGAGCCGATTGCAGCTACGCGATGTCGCGCACTGATCCGACGAATTATAGCAACCGCGCGTGCGTGTGCGTCATGTCAGATCATCTTTGGTGCTTAGGTACATGTAGGTCTAGGTCTACTCTATCTACCATGGGGATAACAGTTATTAAACCTTTTCAGTAAGGTAATTACAGCCCAAGGAAACTCAAAAGTGCATCAAAAATGTAACGTGAGTAACCGTGGAATTGCCCTTCAGCATTTTGTAGGCAATAGGATGAAGAGTGGTGAATCCAGCCTTGGATGGAACTGAAACAAGTGTCATCAACCAGCTTTAGCTGAAGGAATCACATATGCTTATTTTTTTTAATCTGTTGATTGATAGTTGCCAAGTACACCCGAGAGGCTGGCGTGAGGACTCTGGAACGGAAGATTGGAGCGGTCTGCCGTGCTGTTGCAGTCCATGTGGCTGAGACACAGACACGTTCCAAGACAATCATGGTTACAGCCAACAAAACGACTGACGAGGAGGATGATGGAGGACACGATGTAGATCACCAGGGAACTGAGTTACTGGACAAGGCATCTCTGGTTGCTACAGCTGATGCTGCTATCACCCATCCACCTGATATGCCTATTGTCATTGACAAACATGCCGTCAAAGATATCCTCGGGGTAAGATGTTTTATGTCTTATTGGCAATTCCATAGTTTGTTCAGAGATGAAACTTTTTCCGATTTTAATCGGAAAACCGACTTTTTTGACTTTTTAAACAAAATTTCTGATTTTCTTACAATGTGTCCCACAAAACTTGATTTTGTAAGGATTTTTTTTACAAATTGTGTTTTTTGTTAAACTATAATTTCGACAAAAAGGCGATGAAAAGTCGATGAAAACGGCACGTAAAAATAATTGCGAGCGTAGTTTTGATCTCTTTCACCAGTCACAAATTGGGTGTTTCTACAGTAGGAACACCTAGACCAACGCTGATCGGACCCTTTTCTGGCTGGAGAATAGGCTAAACATTGACCTATGACACGGAAAAATCACTGCGGCACACAGACATCTTGCATGGTGCGTGCATAGCGCATGCACACGTACGATGCTATAGCCGCTACAAAAATGTTACAGATGGTCAAACGTGAGGATAATCTCTCCGAAATAGAAACGGGCATTAAAGATTAATTCCAGTGGCGATGGTTGGAGGAAAAAGATAACAATGGGGACTATTTCTCGACGTACATTAGAAAACTGCATTTACCAGGGCGATTGTTTTAAGATTTTACATCGTTCTCGTGGATATCGTTCTCGGTAAAATTATACATGAAGCGACTGCGGTCGGGAACACATTTTCGACACCGGGGAAATTCTGATTTTTTTTTTGCTCAGGCCAGTTTCATCTGTGGTTTGTGTAATTACACTTCTTTGTACCCTTTTATTGTCATTATCCTGTTCCTTTTACTATATTTTTCATTCTGGGGTATAAGGGAACGAGCAGAAAAAGTTATTACGAGTCAAATAGATGTTCTGAGTGTCTATATACTGACTTTGTAATTACAGTAATAAACGTGAAAACATGAAAAGAAACCACAGCTTAATAATAGAAAACAAGAGAAAAATCCTAGTTATTGGCATTACTGACTAGGAACAGATGAAAACTCTGGGCACAATTGCAGAATACCCCGCCACTCGATCTATGCACCTCGTAGCCGGCTACGGAATCACGGTTGATTGCCCTCAATAAACCTTCTCAGCGCTACATGTATGTACCATGCGTCATGCTCCACTGCACTCCCACCCGTATCCGCGTAGCCGCCAACAGGGTAGTTGGTTTGGACTTAAAAAAATTTCAGCAACTCCCATTACTTTTGTGTTGCTTCGTTCTCAAGCATATTCAAGGGGACTCCCACTTCGTATCCGCGTAGCTGGCAACAGGGTAGTTGGTTTGGACTTAACAAATTTTCAGCAACTCCCATTACTTTTGTGTTGCTTCGTTCTCAAGCATATAAGGACTCCCACTTTGTAGCCGCGTAGCCGGCAACAGGGTAGTTGGTTTGGACTTAACAAATTTTCAGCAACTCCCATTACTTTTGTGTTGCTTCGTTCTCAAGGGGACCCCCACTCAGTATCCGCATAGCTGGCAATGGACTTGAATTGTTAATTTTCCAGTGATTCCAACCTCGTAGCCAGAGAATTTAGGGGTGTATTCCCGAGTGGCGGGGTATTCTGCAATTGTTCCAAACTCTGATCAAATATGAGCAAGAAAGGAAGTTTGATAAGATGTAGGAAATTTGGAAATTAATTTGAAGGGGGGGGGGGGGTGGTCTTTACCCAACTGGCACTTTAGCTGTTTCTATTTCCCTGATGCGTGTTGGAACATCCATCACTGAAAAAAAGTGCTCATAAGAATGTACTGTATGAGGTGTAATAAAGCTTTGTAACAGTCATGTACCAAACTTTGCTTCACTGGTTCAAATTAACATTTTCAGTAAAGAAATCATTTGGTGACTGTTATATTTGTTTTCAGATTCCAGTTTATGAGAGTGAAATGTCTGAGAGACTGTTGCAACCAGGTGTTGCTGTTGGTAGGTTGGCTAAGATAAACTATGGCTAGATCCCTGTAACGAGTCGTTATTAACATTGTTCATTTTTATTCAAACAAATCTTTTCCAATTTAAAATTTGCTTTGCAAAATACATTCATAACTTGAGATCCTTTATTTTACGGAAATAATGAATTGTGTTCCATTTATATTTTTCATATTTTTTTCTTAATTTAAAGGGCATATACAACATTTGCACACATCGTAAAACAAAACTACCAAATGTTTACCAAAAACCTTACTAGGATGCTGGTAAATGACAGTCTAAAGCATCCTGTAAAATTATGGCACCTGGTGTGAAGTCATTTTCAAGAAAAGTGGTATTTTTGTGTAAATTCCCAACGGTGGTCGGCCGACCACTGTTGGAAAAACCTGACTATTTTTCAACTACTGCTCCAAATGTACCATTTTTTTTTCAGTCAAAATTTTGTTTGCTATTGGTTACATGTTCATGAATGGGTGCAGGCCAGCTAGACTGGTTCCCTTACCTTACAATTTTCCGTCATCTAAAAATTGATCCATTTCAACTTTAGTGGAGTCAGGGAACCAGACTACTTGAACATTTTTGTTTTTTCTTGGTTTTTCCAGCAATTTCGAACACAAAACTTCAAACATGGCAGTGTAACAATATTTTTATCTATTATACTAACCCCTCAAATACTTCATATCTGAAAATTACAGCAAAAGCCAATGATGTACATTCCCCCCTTTAAAGAAAAACAGTTTGTTGTTTGCAACAAAGGTGATGTTTTTTTTTTTGTATTTTCCCTTTAAAGGGGAGATACAACATTTGCAAACATCACAAAACGAAGTGATCAAATTATCATGAAATGCCTTACTGGGTGGTAAGGGAATGACAGTCTAAAGAATCCTGTAAAATCGTGGCTCCTGGTGTGCTGACATTTTCAAGAAAAATGGTATTTTTCCAACGCTGGTCGACCGACCAGCGTTGGAGAAAACTGGCTTTTTTCAAAAACCTGCTCCTGATTTTTCCTAATTGGTTATTCCGCATTTACTTTGCAATTGATCACACACCTGTGTAGGGGTACAAGCCTTCTAGACTGATTCTCTGACCATACAATTCCACAAAGTCTATAAATTGCTCTAATTCATCTCAAGTGGGGTCAGGGAACCAGACTACAAGAACATGAAAGTTTTCTTGGTTTTTCCAGCATCTACAAGCCCAAAACGCGAAACAAGTCATTTTAACAATATTTTCTGCAACTGATCCTCCAAATTCATATATTTCTGAAAATGTTGTACATTCCCTTAATAAATCTTTACTATTGACAGGTCTGGCATGGACTGCCCTTGGGGGTGAAATCATGTATGTAGAGGCTACCAAAATGGACGGAGATGGTACCCTGACTCTGACTGGTCAGTTAGGAGATGTCATGAAGGAGTCTGCTACATTAGCTCTCAACTGGGTCAGGACACATGCCAAAGAGGTCAGTCAACTTAATAGTAATACACATGTAATTGCATGCTTTTCACTTCTATTTAACATTAGTGCTGCTTTGTTATCTCTGGACTTAGTGGGAGACATTCTGACTGAACTTCCAACTCATGCAAACTCCACTAGTTCATTGACTCAGTAAGTTATAATGTAATAATAATAATTAACTGTGGAAAATATATTTTTCTCTTCCAAACTACCCCTTCATGAAATGTTTAAGCCCAACTCTGTTGCGCGCTCTCTTTGGAACAAAACGCGCTACACGCACACCAGCATGCATTTGCACACAAATACCACGCCATGGGTATAGTACTTTGGTTGCTAATGGTATAGTACTTTGGTTGCTACGGGTATAGTACTTTTGGCCGTGCACAGAAGATAGCAAAAATAGAAAGTATAATGTGACAATACAATTTAGGTTTTGTGACTTAAACCAATAATGATTACATTTGGTTTGTCCATTATGTTTTCCCAGTATGGTATACTTGCTAAGGAAGGTGTTGACCTGATGGAGAATACTGACGTTCATATTCACTTTCCTGCTGGAGCCGTGGGCAAAGATGGCCCCTCGGCTGGTATCACCATTGTGACTGTACTCACCTCTCTCTTCAGGTAGGACTCACAATCAGGTATATTGTTGATGTACCCTGACGTGGCGCGGCCCCTAACGTGGCGCACTTTGATTTTTCACCTGTAGCGCCTAGCTAGAGCAAAAGTTTTAACTGAAATTTCACAATTTCAAAAAAACCCACAAATTTCACAAGTTCTAAACACTCCCGTTCATAAATCGTGAGTTTATTTACCTGTTACAAAGTTAGAAGAAAAAATTATTTTGGCGTGATTTTCCGATTTTATTTTCAAGTGCAAAGTGAACCCTTTAAAAATGCCTCGAAAAATAAGAAAATAATTTTCTGACAAACATCTGGCTGGGTATGTATGTAGAGACATAATGACTTTACCTCCGGTGATAAACAAGGCAGCGCCCATGCCTGAAAGCGCAAGTTGAGAGTTCATTTTTTTCTCAATCCAAAATGAACGAAATTTCTAAATAAACTCCATGAATAATGGGAGTCATTACACTCTTTACGCCAAGACAATAGTTTTGGTTTTTTGGAGCGAGCTGATACTAATTATCATGATGGAGCTCCTTTTTATAGCTCTATGATAACACCGTGTAGAATGGACTAGTTTTACATGTTTCCAAGTGGATTCCCTACGTACGGGAATGCCAGTAGGCTGTGTTGTTGGTAAGGTACTGTATACAGACTGCAGCTGAATTCCGATGTCACTGAACTGGACATTTGTTATGTTTTTTTATTGAATGGAAAATCAATATTTTTAGATCGAAAATAGAGGTGGGTGGTTGGGTCAAAACAATTTCAAAAAAAATTTGAAATTTACAAACTTCTAAAATTTTGAATGGCCCCTAATGAGATAATTCAATAGTCAGCATGTGTTTAAAGTGGTCTTTCAGTAACTACCAGGGCGTGCATGGTAAAGTTTGGAAGGGCGCTATGTATTGAAAAGTGAGTACTGGAGCACCAGCAGCTTAAAATCGCTATACCGAACGACAGCTATTACGAGCAACCGCTATTACAAACAATTTCTGTGGGTCCCAAGATGTTCGTTATAGTGGCCTTGCACTGTAAATATCACCATCCGAAATTACAAACAATTTCTGTGGATCCCGCGTTGTTCGTTATACAGTGCGAAAAAAACAAACTATACACTTGGGTATCACCACCAGGTTTAGCCACAGTTAATGTTTCAACAAAGGAAAATAAGTAAATTATGCTGAACGATCCAAATTTTGGTGTTTTTTTCAGTGATCGCCACGTTTGCCAAGATACTGCTATGACTGGTGAGATTACACTGAGGGGACTTGTACTGCCGGTGAGTAGCCTCAACCATTGTCCTCGTTTAATGGTTGCATCCTTGAAAATTACAAAAGAAAAACAAAACTAAAAAAAAGTGGGTACACTACATATTACATTAAATAATCACCAGAATTGGGCATTCCACATAAAATGTTATTTTGTTGGAATGATTTTTTTAACAGAGATGCCACTTTTCCGGTTTTAACTGGAATTCCGTTTTTTTTTTTTAAATCTCACAAAATTCCGTTTTTTTTTCGGCCGTCAAAATAAATTGGAAAAAAACTTTGTGTCGGACTCCGAGTCATTTTTGCACACACAAAAGTTCCGTTTTTTTCAGCAAGCTGTTACGTTTTTTTTTTTTCAAGCAGACCCTGTTCCGGTTTTTTCAAGCAGACCCTTTGGCATCTCTGTCTGAAGAACTTACAAATATTATTTTAAATTCAAGAACTTGTACGCCCTAATCTCCCTCTCTGGTGATCCAGGAATCATGGTACTTGTTGTATCAATTTAATATTGTTGTCTTTTTGTGTCATTGCCTTGTTCAAAAATGGTAGTTTGAAGAAATCACCTTTACAAAATCACCTAATAAAAGCATGAAGATTTTGTTGGTTTCGTCAAGCATGAAAACTGTCGGTAGTAAACATTTAAAGCAAAAATTTTAACAAAATTGTAAGAAGACAAAATGTTAATTGAAAAATTATTTGATAAGTGGCAATTGTTTGTTTGTTTGTTTTTGTTCTCTTGCACCACCAAAAAAAAAAAAATCCTTGCATTGTTTAGGGCATATAGCAATATCAAATTTCTGTTCAACTGAAGTTGTGTTCTGGGATTATGAACTGACGTTTAAAAAAGAGATACCTTGAAATCAAGCGTACTGATCCGACGAATTATAGCAACTGCGCGCGGGTGTGCGTCGTGTCAACGCTTGCGCGCACTTCACCGAATAAAAAAACGAACTACTAACGGAAATTTCCAACGGTGCTTCTTAAGACGCACCGTTGGAAAGGCCTTCTTTCGTTGATTTCTTCAAAATGACAGCTTGCCAGAAAGAATAATTTCACAGGGAGTTTAGTCCCCATACTATCTTTCAACGAAGTACGTTTTCAACAATAATTACGCCGGTTACTTTTTGGATAGCTGCAAATGATGGACTCTGGCTTTAATAGATATCTTTGAAAATGATATCTTTAAGCAAAAACATGTTTTCCTAGAATTTGTATGAAACAAATTCTCCCCGTTGATACATAAACATATTTATTCCTGATTCTTGTTAGGTTGGAGGAATTAAGGCCAAGGTACTTGCAGCGCACAGAGCTGGCATCAAAAGGATTATTCTACCAAAGCGCAACGAGAAAGACTTGGAAGAAGTGCCACAGAGTATCAAGGTAATTATGCTTGGGTCAGCTCAATCAATTAAAATGGAAGTAAAGTGATATTAAAGGGAATGTACAACATTTGCTTTTGCTGCAATTTTCAGAAATAAATGGATTTGGAGGATTAGTATGTTATAGCATAACTTGTTTCACGTTTTGGGCTTGTAGATGTTGGAAAAACCAAGAAAACCAATCATGTTCTTGTACTGGTTCCCCAACCCCACTTAAGATGAAACGGAGCAATTTATAGACTTTCGGGAATTGTAAGGTCAGAGAATCAGTCCTGCAGGCTTTTACCCCTTCACAGGTGTGTAATCAATTGCAAAGAAAACAATGAATAACTAATTATGAAAAATTAGAAGCAGGTTTTGAAAAAGCCATTTTTTTCCAATGCTGGTCGGCCGACCAGCGTTGGAAAAGTACCATTTTTCTTGAGAATGATAGCACACCACGCGCCACGATTTTATAGGATTCTTTAGACTGTCATTCCCCAAAAATCCAGTAAGGTATTTCATGATAATTTGATCATTTCGTTTTGTGATGTTTGCAAATGTTGTATCTTCCCTTTAATGATAGTCAGGATAAAACACCTCTTGATAGCTATAATCATGTTGTGGGCCCTGGCCTTAAACTCTTAGAGTCTACTTTGTTCATCTTGCCCCAGGAGCAACTGCATTTGCATGTTTCCCTTTTGCCGGCTGGCCAATTCGCAAAGCGTTTAGTCGCACAATAATGTGCCTCTTGGCGCCCATCCATGATGCTACCCGGCATCGCCGCCATTTTGAATTTGCCTCTTTTAACTTAGTGACGCAGGCGAGAGAGACATATTTTTATAGTGTTTTGAATGCCACATGGAACAATGGAACATTTCATCTGTCACCTCATGAAATTATTCTTATCATTGCACTCGCAAACATTCATTATTTGTATAATATGCCTCTCAAAGTGATCCAATATGATATAAATCGTCACCGTTTTCACGAAGAGGCGAATTTATTTATTATTTCACTGTCTGAACAAACATTCAAGATAATTGCGTTTAAAGTTGGTCCTTTTTTCATTTGACAATTTGAAACTTAAAAATGCATAAAATATGCAAGATTTAGGTATCAGAGGAAAGAAGAGCTTCTAATCTTCCTAAATGTAGCAAACTTTAAGAAAAATAGTTGATTAGTTTTGCAGAATTAATCAATTAAGAGAAGTGGCTGTTCCTGAAAACGAAAGAAAAGACCATTTAGCAAATTCACCCCTTCATGAAAATGTTTTATTGCACGCGCATGGAATTCGCCCTTTCGTGATGTACGCGCAATTGTATTACAATGTATTTATTTACTGAAAATTTATTAATACCATAGAGTGCGGAAATTCGCCCCTTCGTGAAAATGCAAAACGGCACTTTTGGCAAATTAATTTTTTGAAAGTATAGCCTCACCAGGTTGTAGATATTGATGTGTTCATTCATTTTCACCAAAATTTTTTTTTTTGAAAAACAGATGATTTTCATGAAATTTGCCCCTTCGTTTGGCCCAGGTAACCAAGAGAACCTGATGGTAAAAGGGTGGCATCACATCATGGGAAGTCACGGTTGCTAGGCGTTTGCATTTGTATAATGCAACTTTTCTTGTTTATTTTACTTATGTTCAGAATGACCTGAAGTTTATCCCCGTCTCTCGACTTGAGGAGGTTCTTCAAGCAGCATTTGATGACGGTTTCTCTTCGATGATACCACAAGCTGAACCAACTGTCATACCAAGTAAATTATAAATTAGTAGCCCAATAGAGAGAGACTTGTATGCAAAAACAACAAAATACAATTGGAAATGTAGTAAAAAAGCTAAACCAAATCCCCCCCCCCCCAAATACTTCACATTTAAAATATATGTAACGCCAAAAAAAGTTATGGCTAGTAAGTCCATTTAATAAACCTTCTTATAGATGGAAAAATGATCAAATTATATCACCATTTAAACAGAATGTCCCTAAAATCTGTTTTGTCCAAAAAGGCTATTTTCAAGAATTATGTATGTCTTCAAATGTCACTACTAGCGATAATACCTCAGTTTAAAAGTTTAATAAAAAGATTCAACAAAGTCGTTTTTATTCAAAAGATAAGTAATGACGGTAAATTTTGTTGGCTATATGCAATGTTATTTAATCTTTAAGTACGTAACTGTGAAGAAATTTTTGGAGATTTCAGCAATTGTTATTTGCAACTGGTTCCAATTGTCCAACAAAACATTGGTACTTTCACTTTAAGGCTTATTTATCTGTATTTTATTGGAAGAAAGTATATTGTGTTAACTAAACAAAGCTTTTGGGGGCACTTACTAGTCCTAAATTCTGTATGACTGTATGACCGTACCCCCGCATGCTCGTATCCCAGTATGAACGCGTACATGTATGTTAAAGTTCAGGTTAAAGAGGTTGTGGAATGCTCGAAGACATTTCCGTCATTTTTCGGGCATATGTAGCCTAAGGTGTGATGAAATAAAAACGACTATTGTTTCTGTTATGAAATGAATACAAAAGGTACTTTTGAGAGCTGTTCTTCAGGTCCTGTTTCGACCCGAACGTGCAATTTGTGTGAAAGTCGTCGTTGGGGGCAGCAAACAAAACATAGTAAATCGTGACGTAATATAAGGACTCCCGATGCAGCGTAGTTTAAACGAGTCCTGTTTATTACGTCATGATTTTTCTCATTTTACGAAGAACCCGACGACTGTTGATTTCAATTATGCGCTCGCCGACCAACAAATACTCGATGAATTTCAGTTTTATAAACATATAAACGCACATTACAAAAGAATGGGACTTTGTCATTATGATATATATGGGTCCACTCTACAATAAAAAAATATAAAAAACAAAACGACTTTCAGCATTCCACAACCTCTTTAAGTTTTTGAAAAGAAGTATATAACTTCTACATTCTTTCATTGATTTTTATGAAAACTTGAATGCAGTGACCCTAGATGTTGTTGTTCAAATTTGCCTTAAGTTTTTCTTTGTCGACAGAATTTAATAGATTTTAATGTAACATAAATAAAGTGATCTATGACAACTCTTCTAAAAATGGAGGTCAAAGGTCATCAATTCAACGGGGTCAATTCAGGTCATTGTTTAAAACTGCACAAAAATTCGAATACTTTTTTTTATAAAACAACGTATAGAGATGGACCGCCAAAAAAGCGACACATGCAATCGTCAGATCACTTGTATCTGAAGGCTTGTCAACAGCTAATTTTAGCTAAAAAATTAATAAGTACACATAACAAAATTGTCTCGATATGCTTGATGCCATAGTGTTTTAAGCCAATTTCCTCTTCAGCAAGAAGTTTGGTGAATCATTGTTTCAAATCATTGCATTAATTTTATGAGAATTAAAATCATCTTAACGATTATAAGATTACTTATGCATCTGTTGAATTGTCAAAAATGTATATGTACGTCTGACCGACACCGTGCCATGGAAATGCCCACATGTTGAAGAGCAGAAGGAGCACATTTTTAAAGCAATAATTTGATTATTTTGTGTAAATGTTAAGAATTCAAGCCTTAGTAAGCTTTGTTATTCTGTAAGTTACGTCATGGACATTAACATGCACAAAATTTGACTTTTTCACAGAACACAACATTATAGGGATCAACCTCCAAAAAGACGCCACATGCGATCCGTGTATCATTTTCATGATCTCCGTTAGTAATACTGATTTGTTAAATAGATGATTTTATTGTTCCAAGTATTTTGGTTTGTGTTCTTCAATTTAAGTTTGTTTTGGGGACAAACGCAGGGAGATGGGGTGTGACTCTAGTATTTGGTTGTGTCTGTTTTTTTTTCAATGCAGTTATGAATGTTGATGTAAAAATGGCCCCAAAAAGATGAATCTCTGAATAATTGATCAGTTTTAAGTGTTTTATCCTTGACCAAAGATATTAAAGACAATATTATCTTTGAATATCCTAAACATTAATTTGTGACCGGCTCTACAAAAAAGGGTGTTATTATTGTGTAATGGCCCGCTCAACATTGAGAGGGTGAAAATTTGAATTTTCATTTTATGTCATGAATGTCATCTTTAATACCTACAGTTTCAGGTTTCTTTCACAGAAATGTTGATTTTGATGAACAAAGTGGAAAAAAACCAACCATTTTGTGTGCATCATTCTGTTGTTCAACAACAAAGCCAGCTATTTCAAAGCCTGTTTTCTCAGTTGTGTAATACTTCATATCTACAGATTGGGATGGGCTATGGAGCTCTATTATATACCAAATGAAAGCTTACATTGTGGGCTTTCCAACCATGTATATAACTCAATTTCACATTTTTTGCGACATAATACCCTTTTTTGTGGAGCCGGTCACATTTGTATGTATTGATTGGTATTCAGCTTTTGGTTTGAAGAAGTCACTGCATGTGGATGCCTAACAACAAATGTTGATAATGGCATTGGATTGATCAACAGGTTACATTATAATTGAAAAAAAAAAAATCACTAATATACCTATTTTTTTGTATAAATTGCACATAATTTCCAGTTTGATGACGTCGAGAGCATTTGGATTCCTATTGTCATGTAAAATAGCTGATTATATTATTTAGGCAATAGTGATTATTCTCACTGATTATTTTCAAATTCTCTATAGATAACTTTCGTTTGATGTTGTCATCACTCTAAAACTTGGAAAATTTATTTGATATTGTATAGAGTGTCTACAGTTAACCCTCCTATGGTAACATGCATTGTCAGCCTGGTTATTACTTGGGTCAATATTGGTCAAGACCCCCACTGGTTTGTACACAGTAGGCCCGGAGGTGAGCAAGAAACTTTTGACCATTGGTGACCTCTTAAATAGTAGGAGGGTTTTCTTATTTAGTAAAATTGTGTGTGATCTTTTGAAATAAAAAAGAAATCAACATTCTTTAACGTGTCATTAGAGGGCGCTATTTTGAGTTTTGACATAATAGTTTTTTGGAACTTTTTGCTTTTCCACTTGAAAGCGGAAAAGCATTTTTCTGTTCTGATTTTTGTATTTTCTTCTTTTTGTTTGTTTTTGTTCTATCCCAAATCTGCTTTTTTAGTAAAATTGGGCAAAATTAGATGTTAATGAAAAATTTCAAATTGTAAGGGGTTAACCTTGCATTTTTTTGCAAAATTGGGCAAAATCAGATGTTTCTGGAAAATTGCAGATTGTAAGGGGTTAACCTTGCATTTTTAGCAAAACTGGGCAAAATCTGATTTTTATGAAAAATCTCAAATTGTAAGGGGTTAACCTTGCATTTTTAGCAAAATTGGTCAAAATCAGATTTTTATGAAAAATCTCAAATTGTAAGGGGTTAACCTTGCTTTTTGAGTAAAATTGGGCAAAATTAAATGTGTATGAGAAATTTCAAATTGTAAGGGGTTAACCTTGCATTTTTTTAGCAAAATAGGGCAAAATCACATTTATGGAAAATTTCAGATTGTAAGGGGTTAACCTTGCATTTTTAGCAAAATTGGCCAAAATCAGGTTTGTATGAAAAATCTAATATTGTAAGGGGTTAACCTTGTTTTTTTACCAAAATTGGGTGCATTTTTTTACTAAAATTGGGCAAAATTTTCTGAAAAATTCCAGATGTAAGGGGTTAACCTTGCTTTTTTAGTAAAATTGGGCAAAATTAAATGTTTATGAGAAATTTCAAATTGTAAGGGGTTAACCTTGCATTTAGCTAAATAGGGCAAAATCAGATGTTTCTGAAAAATTCCAGATGTAAGGGGTTAACCTTGCTTTTTTTAGTAAAATTTGGCAAAATTAAATGTTTATGAGAAATTTCATATTGTAAGGGGTTAACCTTGCATTTTTAGCAAAATTGGGCAAAATCAGATTTGTATGAAAAATCTAAAATTGTAAGGGGTTAACCTTGCTTTCATAGCAAAATTGGGTGCATACATGTATTTTACTAAAATTTGGCAAAATGAGATGTTCCTGAAAAATTCCAGATGTAAGGGGTTAACCTTGCTTTGTTAGTAACATTGAGCAAAATTAAATGTTTATGAAACGTTTCAAATTGTAAGGTGTAAACCTTGCATTTTTAGCAAAACTGGGCAATATCAGTTTTTATGAAAAACCTCAAATTGTAAGGGGTTAACCTTGCATTTTTAGCAAAACTGGGCAATATCAGTTTTTATGAAAAACCTCAAATTGTAAGGGGTTAACCTTGCATTTTTAGCAAAATTGGGCAAAATCAGATTTTTATGAAAAATCTAAAATTGTAAGGGGTTAACCTTGCATTTTTAGCAAAATTGGGCAAAATCAGATTTTTATGAAAAATTTCAAATTGTAAGGGGTTAACCTTGCATTTATTAGCAAAATAGGGCAAAGTCAGATGTTTCTGGAAAATTTCAGATTGTAAAGGGTTAACCTTACATTTTGAGCAAAATTGGGCAAAATCAGATTTGTATGAAAAATCTCAAATTGTAAGGGATTAACCTTGCCAAATTAGTGCAAAATCAGATTTGCATTTTTTCAGCAAAATTGGGCAAAATCAGATGTTTCTGGAAAATTGCAGATGTAAGGGATTAACCTTGCTTTTTTAGTAAAATTTGGCAAAATTAGATGTTTCTGGAAAATTGCAGAGTGTTAAGGCTTAACCTTGCATTTTTAGCAAAATTGGGCAAAACGCGATGTTTATGAAAAATTTCAAACTGTAAGGGGCGAACCTTGCATATTTTAGCAAAATTGGGCAAAATCAGATGTTTCTGAAAAATTTCAGATGTAAGGGATTAACCTTGCTTTTTAGTAAAATTGGGCAAAATGAGATGTTTATGAAAATTTCCAGATGTAAGGGGTTAACCTTGCTTTGTTAGTAAAATTGAGCAAAATTAAATGTTTATGAAACGTTTCAAATTGTAAGGTGTAAACCTTGCATTTTTAGCAAAACTGGGCAATATCAGTTTTTATGAAAAACCTCAAATTGTAAGGGGTTAACCTTGCATTTTTAGCAAAATTGGGCAAAATCAGATTTTTATGAAAAATCTAAAATTGTAAGGGGTTAACCTTGCATTTTTAGCAAAATTGGGCAAAATCAGATTTTTATGAAAAATTTCAAATTGTAAGGGGTTAACCTTGCATTTATTAGCAAAATAAGGCAAAGTCAGATGTTTCTGGAAAATTTCAGATTGTAAAGGGTTAACCTTACATTTTGAGCAAAATTGGGCAAAATCAGATTTGTATGAAAAATCTCAAATTGTAAGGGGTTAACCTTGCAAAATTAGTGCAAAATCAGATTTGCATTTTTTCAGCAAAATTGGGCAAATTCAGGTGTTTCTGGAAAATTGCAGATTGTATGGGGTTAACCTTTGAATTTTAGCAAAACTGGGCAGTATCAGATGTTTATGAAAATTTTCAAACTGTAAGGGGTTAGGCCAAAAAAAAAAAGTCTCCCGTTTCTGGTATGCACGCGCGTCGCCGTAGCCATGCGTGTCGGCAAAATGAAAAAGTTTTTTTTTCAATGAAAGATGATGTCTCAAAACCGCCAAACTCACTGGTTTGACTGGAATCCTGCTGCTGCACAATTTTAACGTGGTTTTAGATGGGGTTATGATCAAGAATAAGCTTTATGTGGCCTCTCTGGACTCCCATATATTTGCACTAAGTTTAGTCGGGCACCATTTGCAGTCATCAGCCGACATTTGAAGCAAAAAAGTCAGGTAAAAAAAAAAAAAAGGCCGCGTCGCCGCACCACTTTTTGGGCAAGCTCCATACCAGAAACCGGAGACTTTTTTTTTCGGCCTTAACCTTGCATTTTTAGCAAAATTTGGCAAAATTAAATTAAATTCCTCGATGATGTTGCAAGTGTGTGTCCTCGATTTACACATTAAACAAACGCCCACCACTACACCTACACACCCGCAGAAGGGTTTGATGGAAACAGAATGCCCCTTCGACTTCACCGCAGGGCATAGAAATGAAACTTTAAATCATTTTTCAGCTGCAGGTATTTATTACGGAGTATAAAGAACACATAAAAAAAATGATTGTGATGGACTCTATTAGAGCAGCATAACAGAAATAAAAGATTCATATTAAAGTGAGTACATGTACATGTATATAAGTATAAATAAATATGAGTTAAAAAGTAAGCAGCCTGCGAAAAAAAAAATCGGAAAATATGTTGCAACCTGACACCACTCCAGCGATGTACAAAGTCTATGGAGAGTCAAGAACATTTTCTAAGAACCGGTATTTCCTAACAAAATTAGAAATGTCTCTCGATCCCAGATTCATGTCTTATTATCATTTTTGCAATGAATGACCTTCATTGCGATGATACATGAAGAAAAAGTGGCTTGAGGTTGCAACAGTTTTGACGTAGCAATAGAAATCTCCATGCACACGCAACCGTTAGCATGAAATAGTGCTTAAGCAGCAGCATGATTTTCTGCATTAGTAAGCCCAACTTTTCTGCTTTACTGTTAAGCAGTGCTATGAAATTGGGCCCAGACACTTACATTTATGCTTAATACAGCTCTCACAAGCTCACTCCCTCACTCTCTCTTCTCCTGAACCTTTCCACACAAAGAATACTAATCCAACCTGCTATAAAGGATGAAATATATAAATATCACAACACTTTAGAATCACAACTTGTAAACTTTTAAAAGACCAACAAGGTATGCGCTTAAAGGTATAGTCCATCATTTGTAATTTGTGCATTTTGTTCGTTTGAAGCAACAAAAGTGCTCAAGATCTAAAGATGGGTGCTGAACAACCTGATGAAGTTTCAGCTCGGCTTTAGCTGTATATTTCGAGAAAAACAACATTCTAGGATCTTGATTTCAAATCAAATGTTGCTGAATCATGTTTTGAATTAGGCCTGAATTCAGCGTCTGAGACACGTTCTCACTAGCCGATTGCAGCTACGCGATGTCGCGCACCGATCCGACGAATTATAGCAACCGCGCGCGCTTGTGGGTTGTGTCAACGCTTGTGTGCGCTTCGCCGAATAAAAAAACGAACTACTAATGGAAATTTCCAATGGTGTGTCTTAAGACGCACTGTTGGAAAGGCCTTCTTTCATTGATTACTTCAAAATGACAGCTTGCCAGAAAGAATAATTTCACAGGGAGTTTAGTCCCCTTACTATCTTTCAACCAAGTATGTTTTGCAACAATAATTATGCCAGTTACTTTTTGGATAGCTGCAAATGATGGACTCTGGCTTTAAGTTCTAAATACCTTATAATACAAAAAAAAAGTTTCAGCATTCCTCATTTAAATAGTTCATGTCCAAAACCATATCAATGTAAACATTTTAGAACACATCTTTTTTTCAGGCACAAAATAGTCTGAAGGTTACTTGAAACTTTTTTTTTTTTTTAAGATTTCAACTTTAAACTTAGGAATATGTTGAATTTCCACATAACTTTGTCTTCACCTGGGCATGTGTTGCATTAAACACAGTTGAACAATATTTGGTAATTTAAATGCATAAAAGATAACAGGCTGATACGACGTTAGTGTTGGTGACGTTAGTGTTGGTGATGACAGTCACAGAGACAGCATAAGCGTTGTGTATATTCCAAACATACCGTTTTCTAAAGTTTTGCAATGGCTGCAATTACCAAATAATCTGTTTCTGCTCCTTGCACATACAAATTGAGGACATTTCCGTGAAAACACTTAGGTTGACTTTTTTCATGAATAGGTTCATAAAAAGCACTTCTCATAGTATCATACATGTTTGTGTGGCTTGACTGTTAACCTGACTTTTACAATGAACATTACTCTTACCATTCATAAGATGGAATTTTTGCGTCGGGGTGATGTAAATCAATATTAGGTTTTAGCCCTTCACCGGCAAAAATCCACTGTATACTCAGTGCGTTACCTCAGTGTGTTACCTCTCGATGCAAAAAATCCATCTTATGAATAGTTGAATGCGGTACGATAGCCGCAGCTACATGTACATCAGATTCGAACCAGCCAACAGATCCCGTGAACTCAGTGGTCAAGTGGTTAGACGTCTGCACTAGAAAGCAGGAGGTCGTGGGTTCGAGTCCCACCCGAGTGATTTTTTTCCAACTTTCACTCTGGAGGTAACACACTGAGTATACAGTGTTTCTACAAAGATGGGCTCTATTGATTAGGAGGAAAACCAAATTTTATGGCGAAAGTTTTGATTAATTTGATTGTGCAAACAGACATTTTTTTTGTACAGTTGTATCGGGGCAAGATTGGTACACTTGCAACAAATCTGCCGCACACGCATTGACAGCAAGATTGCAGTATGCCGAGGCTCAATATCATACACATCAAAGAAAACGTTGCACAGAAAAGATTTTTATCATTTAAATGCAGGGCCCAATTTCATAGCACTGCTTAACAGTAAGCAGAAAAGTTGTGCTAACTGTAGCAGAAAATCATGCTGCTGCTTAAGCACTATTTCATGCTAACGGTTGCGCGCACATGGAGATTTCTACTGTTACGTCACTGATTTAAGCAAGGGTTAAGCTTGCTTTTACTGTGCTTACTGCTTAACGGTCCCTATGAAATGGATGGAGGCTCGGTAAGCACAAAGTCGGCTGTTAAGCAACGCTATGAAATTGGTCCCAGTTTATTTTAAAAGGAATATGCGGCCAAATCTGGCAATAAAAAGTTTGAGGTCAGCAATCTGGCTTAGAAAAAATCCAGGTAAGTCAGGTTGAACTAAACTGTAAACCCACACATAATGCGATACTCAAGGTAACTGGCAGTGGAATGGCAAGTTTCATTTGCCTTCATGATACAGAAAACAAGCCTCTCCATGGATCAACGTTCTATGGCCTCACAACTCAATTTCAAAATGACGCCTGAAGATATCTCCAAGTAGAACCTGTCAAATATCAATATCCAACAAAGACAAGACTGCAGTCATATCCAGGAATAATTATGAGTAATAGGCCATCAGCCTAGGTCCATAATTTTGGCCACCGGTATCAAATGAGGGGAATAATCGTCATAGCGATTTTTGGCAAGGTATACACCTCCAGAGTTGGAAAATATGTGATAGCATTGCAGCGGTGGCAGCTTTTTGGGTGTTATCACCCTTTTTTTCAAAATGTCCATAAAAATGCTTGTTACCACTCTAAGGGCGGTATGCCTTGCGCATGCGCACTATAGTCATTTATGTACTGATTTGATACTGGCCAAACCCCCAGGCTGATGGCCTATAATGGAAGCAAACTAAAAGGTTTTTTTTTTTTAAACTGTAAATGTCTAAATTGCAATCGAGCAACTCGGTTTAGAATCATGTGATAAAGGATGCTGGAAATAATAAAAAAAATTTTGCATGTGCGATACGCAATTTGATTGAAGACAACATGTAGAGACTCACCTGAAACACTGCTTGGTTACACTTTATTATGCGTGGTACTGGGCCAGCTTGAATGACGCCTTCTATAGGTTTGATCTGGGTATGGGCCCCGGACTGTGGATATGAAGTTTGGTGGTGCCAAATCATCCTTCAAAAGGAATGATGGATCTTCGAATGTCGGTATCTATATCATAAGAAGGGAAACAGTTTGTTTCAATTCGGGCAATTCACAATGCAGAGCGCCACCAATAGTTTGCCACGGAGAGTACATTTTTCCCAGTGCATTGTGGGAGATGGTCGACAAATTTGCAGCGCGAGACGTTTGAAATTGTTCATTTTTTCTGGTCAGTAGTTTCGTAAGCGTATGATTCGAGTATATGTTTGCCCTTTTCTTTTCTTTACATCACTATGGTGATTTTTGGTGAGGCGGCAGAACGCTATGCCCCAATCTATAACAAATTAGCTCTAGTGTCTACTGACACTCATTCAAATGGGCCATATTTTGTCGACCGTAAACTTGAAAAGTTGACTCTCCATGGCAAACTCTTGGTGGCGCACTGCATTGTGAATCGCCCGAATTGTTCAACCAATAGGGCGATTCCGCGGTAACTCACATTACACTTATATGCACCCTTTCATGTTCCAACTGCTGTGGTTTTAGCAGTAGTTGGACTAGCTATCTATTATGCTGCATAAATATATCCTATATTCAAGGCTTCACCCTGATGGTAAACAAAAATATTTTTGTACCATGGCGAGATCATGGCACTCTTAGAAAAAAAATATGGTTTCTCGCATTACACGAAAAGGATATGCCAAAAATTGGCTTTGTTTTGATTCCCGTCTGCCTAAACTGAAAGACCAATGACCAAATTAATATGTATCCACAGGACACCTACCATAGTACTTTACAAAAATGGCTAATAAAAAATGACTACCCAACGCGACCAACACATGTCATACCCCTTTAATTCCAAGCAAACTAGAGATATCAACAATGGCCTTTTTAGGCATATTGGCTTACATGTATGACATAACTTTTTTGTCTGGTGCATTGTTATTGAGAACATGAACACACGTACTTTGATGAGATAGGAGATGTCGCTGTGTGGAATGGTGTGTTGCAGAGCAGGGGGCATCACTCTACATAATGGGGAATCCCAACACTCTAGCAGAAACTCACGACTGTATCGCAGTGGTGGATCTAAGTGGCCTGCACAGAAAAACATGCATCAAACACTTTCCAATCAAGCTCAACTAACAATTACATGCATGTCATAAAAAATTACTTTCCGGCAGAGTTAATTCTTTCTCAATGCCGATGCATTGAGTTGGCTGATAAAATTCCACATTGCAAATTGTGATCTCTTACAGTTGCAAACATGTACATGTATATACTTGAACCACCTTCCAGCAGGCTAGTTCACAAAACCTTATGTGGGCAATTTCACTCTGTACTGTTATTCTGTAAAGTCAAAGCATTGAGGGTGGATTTTTCTCACAGCAGATCATGTGAAATTAAGTGACATTGGCGTTGCGAGGGGGGAACTTGCCCCCCACTGGAAAAGCAAGAAAAAAAAACGATGACGAAAGAAAAAGAGGCGCGGAGTCATATTGCTAATTCACTGGTAGTTTTGCGCATGCCTACGTGGGGAATGTGAACGTTCAACCAATGGAATGTTAAAAAGCACTGGATTTCATGGGATTCCAAATTTCATGTGACACTGGAAAAGAGTTTAAGACCAGCCAGCCATGTCTTTATCATCTGTTTTAGACCGGCCACGTGACGGGCTCTCGACCAATAGGAATGGGTAAACTGTATTAGGTATTTATGAATTTTGAATAATTCATTCATAAATACCTAAGATAGTTTGCCCATTCCTATTGGTTGAAAGCCCATCACTTGGCCGGTCTTAAATGGTTTATAAAAACTGGCTGGCTGGTCTTTCTAGTGTTACATGAAATTTGGACCCTGTGAAATCCAGTGCCAGCACCGTTTCATTGGTTGAATGTTTACAATCCTCATGTAGGCATGCGCAATACTACCAGTGAGTCAGTATGTATAGTTGTAAAATCACAATACACCGCAACAGCTGCATTCTGCGCCAGCTCACGCAGGACGCGACATGCGCACCCATCTCCATATAAGTTGTTTATGTTTACTTTGCGAGAGAGACAATCCATAAGGTAGCCATAGGGGGATCCCAAAAAACATGAAGTAAACTTGTTAAACGAAAAGTTAAGAACTGTTTTTTAACCTTTGGCTCGGGTAATTATCAGCATCCAGACTCCAAACAGTCCAAACAAAGTGTTTAAAACCAGCCAAGCACAAATCTATTCCCTTATTAATAATTGAAACAAGGCAAGTTTCTTACATGACGATCTTTGTGGAAGTCTAGGTGTCCGTCCTGCTGAAGCTAGACGAGATTCAACAGGTGAAGTTGCAGGTCCATTAGGGCTGTCATAAATCAAGGGTGAATTTGCTTCTTGATACATGCTTCTCCCTTCTGGAACAGTCTCCATCAATGGTGACAACATCCTCCTTTTCTCTCCTTTCCTGGCAGATTTGGGGTTGTAACACCGGGCAGGGGAGGTTTGTACATTCACTGTCTCTTGAGTTTTGTCCAATTCTCCTGGAAGGTAGTCAAGTCTGACAGGTACTGTCTCCTCGGGGATAGGAGGAAGGTCAGGGTTGAACTCTGGAATGGTTGACAGGGAATCCCAAAATCCAGTTGACTTGGGGGTAGGCTCTGTACTGATGCCTGGTAAGTAAGAATTGTACGGTGAGCAAGAAATAAATCTAAATTTTTGATACTTAAATTATCGTTTTGATCAGATAACAAATAGCCACATTTGGGTTGTACCGGTATTTTGTACAAAGCTTGCACATATTCAGTTTTTAAGCAAGTTTCAGCAAAAGGGTGCATAAATCATACTAGATCAAGTTAATATTTTGCAATGCAGTGCCCATAGTAGTGATTGCATCCTCAAAGCAATGCGACCTTTGACACTATCTCTGTTCTGTACTTTATCTTCACAACGTGGGTTTTGCCCTTTGTTCAGTGAAAGTCTCTTTTTTGACCTGACAAGTCGGAATACAGGTGCGATTATTGTATGTCTAAGATGTCCCTGCACTAAAGATGTTTGGAAAAGTAATGCGAACTGTGTGATTGGTAGCTACTCTACAGTACTTCATGGAGTTGTGGGACAGGGGAATTTGATAGAAAGCTTTGGTAAGTTCAGTAGCAATTTGTTTCAGTAGCAATAATGTGCTATTTGGCACAGAGTGGAATCGACATCAGGCATAAGTGCAAGCTGTGGTTTGCTTTTGCGGCCAACATTGGTGAGCGCTGTGACTAAGTGAAAGCCACCTCTTGCCTTTTTGACAAGAAAGGAGGGGGATTGAGGTATTGGACTGCGATGCCTACATCTTCTGGACGAGTGAAGACATCTCTTTTCTCCAGATCATCAAACTTCTTTTGAAACCTCTTGCAATTTGTCCTCTGAGTAATGTGGGAGGTTCCCTTTGCGACGAGGAGCTGGGCGTCAGGGCGTATTCAGGGGGGGAAGGGGGGGACAAGGGGGCCACCTTGCTTCCCCTGGCAGATTTTTTTGAAAGATAGTTTGTCCGTAAGGCCAAAAAACAAAGTCTCTGGTTTCTCTCGGCAAAATGAAAAGTATTTTTTTCAATGTAAGATGATGTCTCAAAACTGCCAAACTCACTGGTTTGACTGGAATCCTGCTGCTGCACAATTTTAACATGTTTTTAGATGGGGCTACGATCTAGTAGAAGCTTTATGTGGCTCTCTGGACTCCCATATATTTTTCACTAAATTAGGCGGGCACCATTTGCAGTCATCAGCCAACATTTGAAGAAGAAAAAAAGTAAAAAAAACCAAAAAAACCCAGTGCACTCAACACACAAACAGGAATGTGTTAAAAAAATAATTCCTTTTTTCATGTTTATAAAATCTTTTGTCTTGAATTTTATTGTTTTAAGGCCACTTCCTTGAAAGGCACCTATGCTGATGTTTACGCTGTGAACCTTTGTACTTGGTATTCCTCAAGTTGCAGCGGCCCCACCACCTCCCTAGGTCAGCTTTCCTGGTCCTTTATGAGATCAGTTAAAAAGAAGAGGCAAAAACTCACCGGGCAATTGAGTTGCTGTATCTGGTTTGATGAGTGGCTCTCCAGGCTGAGTTGACTGTGTCTTACAGGAGCTAGCTTTAATCTTAACCTGCATGACGCCCTTTTTAAAACAAAAAAATTGTTTAAATTAGGTGGCATCAATTTTGCCAACTCCTGGGGTGTTAATATATTTTTTATGATGTTTCTTTTTATCTGCAGACCATCCAAATAATGCCATAATTGATCATGAAATTGATCTTTGGGGCTAGAGTTAGGTTTAAAGCAAGTCTACACTGGCCTTGTGGTCTGGAGCATTAAAGGGAATGTGCAAGTTTCTTTTGCTGCAATTTTCAGAAATAAATGGATTTGCAGGGTTAGTATGTTATAGCAAATATTGTTACACTGACTTGTTTCACGTTTTGGGTTCGTAGACGCTGGAAAAACCAAGAAAACCAATCATATTCTTGTAGTCTGGTTCCCTTACGCCACATGAACCGGAGCAATTTACAGACAGGGGGGAATTGTAAGATCATGAGAATCAGTCTAGCAGGCTTGTAGTCTTCACAGGTGTGTAATCAATTGCAAAGAAAATGCAGACGAACTAAATATGAAAAATTAGGAGCACTTTTTGAAAAAAAGCCAGTTTTCTCCAACGCTGGTCGGCCGACCAGCGTTGGAAAAATACACTTTTTCTTGAAAATGTCAGCACACCAGGCGCCGCAACTTTAAAGGATGCTTTAGGCTCTCATTCCCTAACAATCAAGTGAGATACTTCATGATAATTTGATCATTTTGTTTTTTGATGTTTGCAAATGTTGTATCTTCCCTTTAAGCTCACAGTTTGCCGCACTCTTAGCCCAAGACTAGATTGGTATTATGTTCGCTGAACCATGGAGATAACATTTTGCAGCAATGCACATGCGCCATTATTCATCTTGATACGAGTGCGTGAGGTACCGTACATGTATGGACAGAATGTTTCGGATCGGCCTGCCAGATTCGCCAAGTCTGGATTTGAGTCAGCTTCTTAATACCACCCTCTATCATTGATACAGCTTAACTGCAGGCGCCGGGAAAATAATCCAAACCAGTCTGGAGGTAATTCTGCAGGTTGTAGGTTCGAGTCCAGCCTTGGGTTGTGGAGTGTGTGTGTGTGTCTTATAGGCCTATATGTACACACTTGCAACCATGTCCCTTTACCTTCTTTGTGTGTTCTGTAGACTGTTCAACATCCCAGCTCCTGGCTCTCAGTTCTATCACTCGGAGTAGTTGCATCCTAGTAGTTGGTCTCTTACTGGTGTCCAGGACTAGGATGCGTAGCGTCTGAAAGATCTGATCCATATCAGCTAACCACAGACAGAAAGGTGACACATGTTTAATCAGGCTACAGTACAGTGCATTTTGGTGAACGATGCAATTGCAAGAAGAAAGCGGAGAAGGGCCCCATTAGGCCAAAAAAAAAAGTCTCCGGTTTCTGGTATGGAGCTTGCCCCAAAAGTGGTGCGGCGACGCGTTTTTTTTTTTTTTTTTTACCTGTTTTTTTTTTTTTTTGGCTTCAAATGTCGGCTGATGACTGCAAATGGTGCCCGACTAAACTTAGTGCAAATATATGGGAGTCCAAAGAGGCCACATAAAGCTTATTCTCGATCATAACCTCATCTAAAAACACGTTAAAATTGTGCAGCAGCAGAATTCCAGTCGAACCAGTGAGTTTGGCGGTTTTGAGACATCATCTTGTATTGGAAAAAAAACCTTTTTCATTTTGCCGACGCGCATGGCTACGGCGACGCGCGCGCATACCAGAAACCGGAGACTTTTTTTTTTTGGCCTCAACATTGTTTAAACTTTCCGTCCAGACACTACACACAAAGAAAACCACAAACATGGCAACGTTAGCAAAACTTCAAAGGCCTTTCTGGTAGGATTGCAGCTGCTGAAGTATCAGGTTATCAAGTCCAGCTTGATAATTACATCTTATCTTTCCACTGTTATTGACAATATGTAGACATCACACTGGATGACTGGAACCACAAAGAATAGAATCAAAATGTGGATGAGTTTGTTTTTTCCTGTTTGACACTATGAATTTCAACACCGCGAAAATATAGTTTACAATGAAGTCGCCGTGAAACTGTATTACACTGCCAAGTAAGCTCATTTTCACGGTGCCAAACTGGGCCCCTCAGTAGGGGATAAGTTCACTGCAGTTTCACGGTGTTTTTACATGAGTCTTCTGGAGGTCCAAGGGTCTATTGTTATTCATAACTGTACAGTGGTCCAGCTTCCCTCCACTGAAGGTGTGAAAACCACAGATTAACCGGCTGAATGATTACAGGATTAGTGTGATTGCTCTACACTTACTACCCAATGCCAAGTACACAAAAGCTACAAAGTGTCCTCCTACAAGTATCCAACACCCTGTTTATTGTGATCACCTAATTAAGATTGACAGGCAATGTGCCCTTTTATGAGGGGGATTAGGCCCCAAAGTTGACAAACTGCTCAACGGATTAACGCAACCACAAAGTTAATGAGCTGGACTCCACAGAAGGCGTCACTGCATTTTCACAGTGTTTTTACTTGACCTTAACATGTCCTGGTTACGTGATGATTTTCAGGGCGATTCCACCAGATACTTCGCAATGACATCGCCGTGAAAAAAAATTCACGGTGAATTCATGTCAAATTATATATTCACTCCAAATTCACGGTGTTGAAATTAAGGGCTTTTGCAAACATTCTGAACACTAGGGAAGGATACCGCGGTATTGAAATTCTATACCAAACATTCCATGGTCAAACATTTGACTCAGATGACTCCTCAGACCCAAACTAACAACGTGTTGAAATAATTTCATCACAATGGAGACATCACACTGGATGACTGAAACCAAAACTTGGTTATTATGACAGCAACATGCCAAAGATACATAACACCGAATTCACTGGCGTAGTTCAGGTAAAGCAGCTATGTACATTATTAGGATTCGGCCTTCAGTTTGGGGCAATATTTAAGGTTCTTTATTGGGCAACTGAAAATGAAATTCGGGCAACCAGATTTCAAGCACCCCTGCCCCAAGGGCAACTACATTTTCAAAAAAAATTGCGAGGCCTACAAGATGACACTTAAGCCCTTTTCACACTAGAGCCTCTCGACCCGGGTTGAACTCAACCCTGGGCGAACCCAGTGCCGCCCCGGGTTGAGTTTTTGATTTTTCAACCCCGCGTTCAACCCCGCATCGCATCACACTTGTTTCATGCAAATCAAGCTTATCATGCTCAGTTACTACTGTTTTGGACCCTGGCAAGAATTTCAACCCGGGTTGAAAATCTCAACCCTGGTCTGGAGCAGGGTTGAGTTCAACCCGGGGCGAAATCAATCTCGGGGTTGACGCTGGGTTGACGCAGGGTTGAAATTCTTCAAGTGTGAAACGATGCATGTTTTCAACCCTGCGCCAACCCTGCGTCAACCCCGAGATTTGTCTAGTGTGAAAAGGGCTATACATGTACATGTAGACAAGTCTAATCCACAAGTAACATTCAGTCAGTCAGTCTATAATTGCAATCATCCCTTTACCACCTGCTGAAGTATCACTTGAGAATTCTCTTTAGGCAATCCTGTACAATATAATGGATTAATATTGTGTACTTACATTTAACATAATTCTCCAGTTCTTTACCATAAGCCTTCAGCAGAAAACACAGATTGGCAACAGCAAATTCAAAATGGCGAGGATTTGCAACAGTTAAGGAGGAATGGCAGTCCTGAAGAGACTTCCATAAGCTGTGTGTGTCTTTGCAGTTGGATGTCTGGGATGGGGGCTGATGAGATGAAACGGGGATGGACTGTTTGGACTGAGTGCAGCACGCCTTCATCTCTTGCTTCAATGTCTTGGGGTGAAAAGAAAAGAACAGTTTCAGAAAGGATGATTACTAGACTAACTTTTTCAAAAAGCATGTGTTTTAAAAAAGTGTGCAGTTATTTGGTAAAAACCATGACTGTTTTGTACATTATGGGCTCCGTGCGCCAACGAAAGAGGGCGCCCTTTTACCTAGCAACGACGTCCCATGGGTGGGACATTTAGCTGGTTGACGCGCACCGTTCCTTGTGTGTGACGCACGCACACCAGTGGATTTGTACTATGTACACAAAGTGGTAAGGCCGCGCGTCGCGGCAAAATTGCAGTCAGGCAAGATGGCGTCGGTCGGTCACCCCCAACTGTTCCTTCTTTGCCGGTGAGGGGGTACTTGTGAACAAAGCGGATATGGCAATTGTGTACACATAGTTACAGGGCCCGATCCTATGAGAAAACGGAAGTCCACTTTTAGCTTGTTGGACTTACATGCATCAACTATAGTAAGGCCATTCAAAATGGATTTTTAGGTTTTCATCACTGCCCGCCCCGATGTTTTATGTTTTTAATTATTTTTGCAAGAATGTATTTTGAACTATTTTCTCCCATAAGGAGTATTTTATCAGAAACATTTTCTCACATATACTCCGGCAACTCTGTTTTTCAACATCGCATGGCACATAAATGCATGAGGCATGCATGCATATATGATTATGCGAACACTGGTTCCCACCGCTAGACGTGGCTAGACAGAGCAAGAACAACAATGAAAGGGGCGAGAGCCAACGTTGCACAAGGCCAAATCATGACTGAACATATTTAGAAGAATCAGAAGCAACAAATTTCTGACGCAAACAGCGTTGGAAATAATCCAAACTATCAAAGATCTTTAACCCTAAGTTCACTACCGTGGGCTCCATTTTGCACCAGAGTTCGATGACACTTCCTTACCCTGGCTCCTCTTGACACCAAGTCATAATACACAGATGACTGCATTATTATAAATAATGGTTTTCCCTGCCCCTCCCCAACGCAATGTTGATAGGGGCATTAGCAAGTGTGCCTGCACACCTGATTTCCAACAACATTGAAGGGGGGAGCTTGGCTTGAACTAGTTCCTGAAAACATAGATTTGAGCTTGCCAGTCCAGTTACATAATCCTGGTTAAAGGGAAGATACAACATTTGCAAACCGTCAAAAAACGAAATGATCAAATTATCACGCAATATCTTACTGGATTGTTAGGGAATGACAGTCTAAAGCATCCTGTAAAGTTGTGGCTCCTGGTGTGCTGACATTTTCAAGAAAAACTGCATTATTCCAACGCTGGTCGGCCGACCAGCGTTTGAGAAAACTGTGTTTTTTTTCTCCAAAAAGTGCTCCTAATTTTTCATATTTAGTTTGTCTGCATTTTCTTTGCAATTGATTACACACCTGACCTGTGAAGACTACAAGCCTGCTAGACTGATTCTCTGATCTTACAAGTCCCCAAAGTCTAAAAAGTGCTCCATTTTATCTCTTAGTGGGGTCAGGGAACCAGACTTCAAGAATATGATTGGTTTTCTTGGTTTTTCCAGCATCTACGAACCTAAAAAAAGGAACAAATCAGTGTAGCAATATTTGCTTCAAGTTCAAATCCATTTATTACTGAAAATTGCAGCAAAAGCAAATGTTGTACATTCCCTTTAACACCTATCAAACGTAATAAACATGCAGATGGCTTTACCTGGTACCCATATTGTGTACATTTTCTGGGCAAGCTATCTCCTCCATGAAGTATGAGGTCGCTACACAACAGAAAAAAACATTCCAAATGGGGCTGGTAATGGAGGTCATGAATGCTCCTGGCAGCCAAGGTGTTAATGAAGGTTTAGATATTTTTTTTTAAACTTGGTCGCTCTTTCTGCATAGTATTGTCTGCTTTCACAATATTTTCTTGAGGTCTTTATGCTTTTGTTACTAGTGGAGATTTAGTGAAGCGTGGTTTTCTGTGATCATCGCTATTTTTACAAATTTGTTGAACTTTCCTGACAAATCAGATTTTGAGGGGAAAAATTGTTAGTTTTGAAATGAAATTTCAAAAAGGCAGAATTCTGATTAAATACAAAAACTAGATTTCATGGCTGTTTAAAAAAAAGAAGGAAATATTGATTGTTCATACCTCTGCTTCTACAGTTTTACCCAAGCCTTGTAATTTCTTTGGGCTTCGTGGTCCGAGAGACCCTGGAATGGTGTTGGCCCCTTTGCCAATCAATGAACGAGCTGAAAAGCCACTGGTGTTCATGCATGCCATGTTGCTAGCTGCCTTGCCTGAATCACTCAACATCTGTAGGAAAAAAAAGGAAAAAAAAAACAATTCGTTTGTAAATACAATTAACACCAGTACAAACATACATGGAGTGTGATCTAGTTCACTCCATACTTTGGATTCACTGAAAAAAAACTTTATATCAACAAAGTTCAACTTATTTATGAATATTATGAAATAAAAATTGGGTCTACGTAACACTCAGTTTACAGTTGTAAGGAGCAATTTATGTCAAACCAAATAGCTTTTTGTTACAAACAGGCAAACTTCATTGTGTTCATTTGCCACTGATAAGTACTAGACTTTAATACATATCATGTAAATGTACATCAAATCTAAAAAATAATAATGTGTGGGCACCACTCACGAATGACAGTCTGAAACAGGTGTTATTATTAGAAAGATTAAAGGGAAGATACAACATTTGCAAACATCACAAAACGAAATGATCAAATTATCACAAAATGCCTTACTGGATTGTTAGGACATGACAGTCTAAAGCATCCTGTAAAATCGTCTCTCCTGGTGTGATGTCATTTTCAAGAAAAATGTTTTTTTCCAATGCTGGTCAGCCGACCAGCGACCAGCGTTTGTGAAAACTGGCTTTTTTCAAAAACTGCTCCTAATTTTTCATAATTAGTTATTCTGCGTTTTCTTTGCAATTTTCTACACACATGTGAAGGGGTACAAGCCTGCTAGACTGATTCTCTGACCTTACAATTCCCCAAAGTCTATAAATTGCTCCGTTTCATCTTAAGTGTGGTCAGGGAACCAGACTACACGAACATGATTGGTTTTCTTGGTTTTTCCAGCATATACAAGCCCAAAACTTGAAACAAGTCATTTTAACAATATTTGCTATAACATTCTGATACTCCAAATCCATTTATTTCTGAAAATTGCAGCAAAAGCAAATGTTGTACATTCCCTTTAATGTACATGTACATCAAATCTAAAAAATAATAATGTGTGGGCACCACTCATGAATGGCAGTCTGAAACAAGTGTTATTATTAGTAAGATTAAAAGGGAAACATGACTAAGAACATTCTCACTATAATTCATAAAACCCTCCTATACTTGTAACTAACACAAATTATCAAAAACCTGACCTCCGCACTTCTCTCGGTAGTAGGCCATCAGCCAGGGGGTTTGGTCAGTATCAAATGAGGGGAATAGTGGTCATTGTGATTTTTGGCAAGGTATGCACCCCTGTAGTTGGAAAAAATGGCATACCACATATAATTAATTGGCGGCCATTTTGAAAAAAAAGAAGCAATTTTAAAAGTGATAACACCCAAAAAACTGTCATCGCTCACACTACAAAGCTATCACACATTTTCCAATTCTAGATGTTTATACCTTGCCAAAACTCGCTATGAACACTGCTCTTTTTGACCATTTGATTTTGATAACTGTGGCACAATTTTTGTTTTGGCCTTTAACTTTTGTTCAGGCTGGTCACCAAGTACCACAAATCCCTCAGGATTACACCGTGTAACTAGTCCGGTCAATTTAGAACAAAACAGGGCCTGACCTAGAACAAATTGCAATGGAATTTATTTGAATGCTATCACGCTAAGGAAATGTCACTTTTTAACATACTGAAAATCTAATTTCATCAAAGGAGTGGAAAAGTGATTTTATTCACTTTTTTGCTGAACTATTTTTTAACCATCTGTAAACAGTCGTATGGAGGGCGTCATGTTTTCTTTAGTGTCCGTTACCCGTCAGCAAATCAGTTCACATCACGTATGAGACTTCGCGAGACACGACTGATCACAACAGACAATTTTTCTACCGGTATGTCCGCCAATTATAAAAATTTATGGTAATTTACACTGTCGCCAAATACTATAGGATATTTTCTTGAAAAAAATTCAAGAAATTTGAGATTTTTTTTTCTGCCCGAATTATTTATTGTTTAAAATAAATCACTTGGTGCTCAATTAACCATTTGTGTCAGGGAAAATCTTTGCATAAACAGGTTTACTTGAAACAAGGCCAGGCAATGATATACACAAAGAAATCTATTTAAAGTTAAAATTTAAGTGTCTATGCCAATAGGCCAGAGTCCAATTTTAAATATCAGGGAAAAATATCCAAAATCCAAGATTCGTGTGTTCGTTTTGTGATGAGTTAGGTCATTGGCATAACTTATTTAAATAACCTATAAATTGTCAACAAAAAATTAATGCACACTAAAAAAACTTAGTGAAGACAAATTAACTGGATTAAAATCTTGCAGTGAAAATTTAGCTGAATTCTGGGCTTTAGAGAAAAAAAATTGGGCAGTGTGACAAGTGTATTAAATGTACCTCAAAAAATAATGATGACGTCACATGTCCCGTGACCAACCCACCCACGTGTATTATTAAGTTTTCATAAGTTTTGATCTCTTTTAGCACTGTCAAGTTTCTGACATGTTTTGGCTAAGTTCTTGAACAGTCTTGTAGGAATTATCACTTGAAGTTTTGAGATTGTTTGTTTGAATTTGATAAGTGATAGATCAGGAACGTTAGAGTTCTGTTATTTTTGTAGGAAAATTGTGTTGTCACAAGAAGGTTGAATTGTTGATTTGGTTTTCTGTGTTTTATTTCTCCATGGTTTTCTGGACTGATTTTATTTAAGTGGTTGATTGATGTTTGTTATGATTGCCTTTTGATTATTAGATTGCTTTATTTTCTTTCGAAATCTGCTTTTAGTAGTTGGATGGAACATGTGGTTTCTTCATAACCTTTATTTTTTATTGAAACCAAGAGGAGTGGTTTCCCACAGACTTCTTACTGATTAGTTTGCTATATTTATTCATTAGTTAGACTTGTTCAAGCTGTTCATTTACTGCAGACTTGCCTTTCCTTTACTTTGTATTTAGCCACCTGTTTCATTTAGTTCACTTAATCTTCTTGGACCTGTACAAGTTTACTGTTGAGGAATGTGAATTAGCCCCTTGTTGATTAGCTCTAGCTTGTTTCTCAAGGAAGTGGCCACAGACCTTATCTTGCTCATTAAATATTCACAAGAGATTTTGGTGTTCTTGCTAAGACTGTTTATCAGGTCCACATGACATTGTTTATGTTACTTTAGACCTAGTGTAGCTTGAGTTTGTTTGCATTGTTTACTTGTTTCTTATTAACTGTATTCTTTACTTATTATTACACACTGTGTTGGTTTTATGGTTTTAGTTTTGTTGGTTTTTAAGTTTCAGTTTTTGGTTTTAAGTCTTCAGTTTCTTGATTTTAAGTTTCAGGTTTAGGTTTAGTTTCTGGGTTTTTTTGGTTTAAGGTTTTGTAAATAAATTCTTTTTGGTCCTTTTTGGTTTGAAATCTAGAATTGTGTCCCTTGTCTCTATTTATTCTAATTTCCTCGCGCCTTTTCCTTTTAAAATCCTGAGTTTAGTTTAGTTTTCTTAGTAAATCCCCATTGAATCTTTAGTTTTTACTACTCCGAGTAACTAGGACTCTACGATTCGCCTTTTTTAACATTAGGACATGGTCGGGCGATAGTCGAGTCCTAGGTACATAGCCTTATTGCGTTACTAATAACTTTTTTTGACCATTTTCACTCATACCCCCAATCAAAATCTTCAGATTGCACCCCCAAAACAGTCTTCAAACTGCCTTATGCGACCCTGTAGGCTTCAGTGGGAATTGGAAATACAAATGGTGGTGGTGAGGTTTACATACCTTTTAGAAAAGGTTACACCTCTATGTTCCGACACCCCTATGTTCCGACTGCACATATTCCTATTCCTAACCCTAACCCTAACTCTAACCGGGAGTAACACAATCTAGGTTGTCGGAACATAGGGGTGTCGGAACATAGAGCAGTCACCTTAGAAAAGAGAAATTTCACCTTCAATTCGGGAAACATCCTTGTCACAAACGCCTTGTTTGAGGCTGCCATTTTCAGGAAAAGCATCAGACAGACCAATCACAGGGCACTTTGATTGGTCACCTAGATTGGTGAACAATCAAAGTGCCCTGTGATTGGTCAGGTGACAAATCAAAGTGCCCTGTGATTGGTCAGGTGACAAATCAAAGTGCCCTGTGATTGGTCTGTCTGATGCTTGCCAGGAAACAGTCTAGCCAGTTTACTTTTCCTGAATTCAAAATGGCAGCCTCAAACAAGGCATGTGTGACAAGGATGTTTCCCGAATTGAGGATGAAATTTCTCTTTTCTTCCAAAAGGTATGTAAACATGGTAAACCTCACCACCACCATTTGTATTTCCAATTCCCAACGTTAAAAAAGGCAATTCTATCGTAGAGTCCTAGTTAATACTCGGACTAAGTTTTTACGAGGTCATGCCCAGACTATGTGACTATCTATAGGCCTAGGCCTAGATTGTTTATAAATGTAATTTGAACCTGGCTTAACTAGCTAGCCTAAGGCAATACTACAACTAGTACAAGTACAACATCTGCATGTGATTTTAAGTGTTCATAGTGACAGTGTATTTCGAGTAAATTCTGGGAAATTTGGCAGATTTTTGATAAATCTGACAGTGACAGATTGGGAAAATGTCCTTACTAGGGTCACCCTGTACACAAGTAAGGGCACCCTGTACACATTATCACAGTTGTAACATGGCGTCTGGATACTTTCTTTCCAGGCTAGTACAAGTATTACCATAGAGCAAGGATGGTATTACGCACTACAGGGCTGTAGGGCCTATGTGTAGCTCTCTCTTACATGTAAGTTGTAGTCTCGCCATAGAAAGTCATTTACTAATATTACAGCCCTGTTTGTACTTCACCCATATCCTGGCAATTTTAGGATCTAGCGGAGCCTACTTACCTCCATACGCTGTCGATGTCTTCCTAGCTCTCTTGTACCGGTCGGTACGGCGATCTTGGGTACAACCACAACGCAACCACAACTTGGCGAAACTAGAACAGTTTCGATCAACCGGCCACGTGTTATACTGTAGAGCGCGACCCTGGTGTTGGTCAAGGGGTAGGGGAGTTATAAGGAAACAATTAACCGGCCTATCGCGTAATCGCGTTTAGAATCGCATCAACGCAGCTTGTGAAATAACTATTGTCCAATTACATGATATACACATTTATGGACGCGGAACGCGCAAAATCTGAGACAAACAAAATTAGTTAAGTTTACAAAATCTCCACACTGAGGGTTGTCTAAGGGGCGTGGCTTACTCGCAAACGGACTATCGCCGCGCCGTTTGCGAGTTAGCCACGCCCCTTAGACAACATGGTGGAGCCTCGCCGTTTGCGAGTTAGCCACGCCTTTTGGACAACGCTGCGGTTTGTTAGTGTGACGTCAGTTCAGTTTAAACCACGCCCACTTGCCATTAAGTAGCATTGGAACCGCTGGAAGTGGACCCGTACCCAAAGCTAATATGGGCGCTATCAATCACGGGTGCGCGCTGGTGTGTGACGTTTTTACTAACGAACCGGATAGCTAGATTGGGCAACCTCGTCCCCAGTGTGTCGAGCAGTACGCGCCCACCACTACCTGCTTTACTATTGGAAACGCGGTTGGAAATAAAGTAAGCACTGGGGACGAGGTTGGGAGATTGGGTAACCCCTTCGTCTCATATCGTGCTGGGTATGTTACGCGCCTTAGCCAATCGGAATCGACTAAGTTTACCGTAAATCGTGACGTCATTTAATTCCCAAGTCAGGACTAAATCTGTGATTGGTCAAATCGAATGCAGTGTTTTGTAATCAATCATTGATCTCCATCCGGTTCGTTAGTAAAAAAGTCCTACACTCGCGCGCACCACACTCAGAACCGGTGTCATATGAAAATCCGACTCCCATGAAAATCTGACCCCTTTTTCCCTTTATTGGTAAAAGGGAAAAAGGCTTGTAAAACGCTTTACTTAACTCCGGGAAGAGGGGCCAGGAATTGCCTCAGATTGCACCACAGAGCATCTAGAATCCAAATTTCTCGGGGCCCTTAAGCGGGCCCCGGACCCCACGCCGAAAGACGTTCGCGCTCCGCGTATTTGTCGTCGGGGCGGGGCAGATGCCCTATACGCATCCCTGCAACAGTATACAAACTAAGTCTACACAATTATTCCTTTTCAAAAATAAGCGCAAAAATAATTATGCAGACGAAAATATTTGGTTATACAAGTGAAGAACATAAGAAACTTAAAAGGCTTGTTAACGCAAGAATATATTATAAACCAATGAAAAAATCCTTATAATCTTAAAACGTTTTGCTCAAATAACTCAGGGGAAAAGGGGCCAGGAATCCCCTCAGAATGCACCACAGAGCATCTAGAATTCTAAATTTTCCGGGACCCTTAAGCGGGCCCCGCGGACCCCACGCTGTAAGACATCCGTGCTCCGCGTTCCTATTACTTCTCGGAGCAAATGCCCCAACGCATCGTTGCAACAGTTCACAACCTAAGTCAATACAATTCCTTTTCCAAACTAAAATGCAAGAAAATATAAAGACGAAAATACATGGTTTTCGACTTTCAAGCACACAAAGTAAATTAAAATTGGTAAAAGCAAGAGTATATATATTTTAAATCCTTATAATCTTCAAAACTTTTGCTCAAATAATTCGGGGGAAAGGAGCCAGGAATCGCCTCGGATTGCACCACAGAGCATCTAGAATTCAAAATTTAGGATGTTGGACATCCCCCATCCCCCAGTCGCCGGTGTAGCGTGAATATCCGACTCCATGAAATATGGACTCATTTGGTAGTATTGCGCATGCGTAAGTATGATAATATCCTATTTATAGCCGATAGGAGAGTTACTTGTCACGTGTGAGGGATTAACCAATAATGGGGAAAAGGAGCCCGATTTTCATAGGAGTCGCGAATGTTCATAATGACACCGGCACAGATAAACGCCACTGATATATGCACGGCATCATTTTGGAACTCGTCATAACAGTGTCTTTTTTAGTTCTCGGTGTAATCATTCTTGCTTGGGGAAAATTTCGTTTGCGAAATGCTACCCTCGATCGTAAATCGTGACGGTGTGGTCCCTCTTTACAGGTGGCACTGGGGGGGGGGGGGGTCATTTTCTCAGGGAGGGAGTTTCAAATGTTTTTTTTTAAATTATTTGACCGCGGGTGTCACAGGGAATGAGAGGGGGTTGGATGGATGGGATCATGGCTTGCTGATGACTATTGCATCCAAGTCAATGTTCAGCAGTATGGCCTCACTTTTGCTCTCGGAGCAGTCGCTGCTTGCAAGATACTCCATCATGGATCTCTGTACGTCTTCGGGTGCCGTCTCCTTGAAGTGAACGGTTTGGGTCAGGAAATCCACCAGCAGGCTGCCTTCTTCGGAAGCTTCGTCGAAACACTTGGTGATGTCCAAGAACTGGGGTTCGTGAAAATGAGTGTACGGGATGCCCCGGCTGTCCAGAACGTTGCGTACGAGAGCCGCGTCGGTGTACACGAATCGGTGTCGGAAAGATTGCAGGCGATTCCAGAAACGCGCGTGACCGCTTTTATCTATAAAAAAAAAAGGAGAGATTTTGGCCTGAAGTCGTGTTTCATGATTCCTGCAGTTGGAAAAAATATAGTAAGGCCCAATCGGACGAAGAAGTTTACCCATTTTTCACAACGACTGGAAAATAACAACGGGACAAAAACTGTGTAAATCAGAAGAAGATTAGCGGGAAACGTACAACTTAGTCAAAGTATTGACTGGTTTCCCTAGTTAGTTAAAGCGCAAAGTTTCATACTATGACTATAGAAAAAGTACTTGCATTTGACTCCAATTTTAGTTATAACTATTTTTCCTACATAGTCAATAATACTGACTGGAAAATCTATTCAGAATGACTGATTTTCAGTTGCACTCAGCTGACCCAAATTGCTAGTCAAAATGTTTCTTGGGACCGCAATGGAAAAAAGTCTTTAAATTTTTTTTTTTTGTGCGTTATCCCTGATTTTTCCACTGTATGTGGGACTCTGACTCTCTATGTTTAATTTTTAATTTACAGTTGTAGATAATTATTATTATTTTTTTTAATCCTAACTAATCTGTATCATTATTATGTGGAAATTGCGAATAGGGCCTTAATCATATCGAATAAAGAAACTAGTCAAATCTGACTATTTTTTTTTTTTAGAGTGTAGGCCTCTAGGGGCACTGTTCATGGTGGCGCTGCGCAAAACAAAATATCCACTTTCTCCATTGTTTACTGAACTTTTAAGATTTTCCTTTAATTTTGAAGTCCAACGAAACAAAGATCTTTTGTAAATTACCTGATCTCAGAACGACCAGCATTATTCCGCCCGGTTCCAGACGGTCGTACAAATACATCAACGAACTCTCGTCTACATAGTAAATGGAGTGAATCGCACTGATGAAATGAAACTTCGCAGAATCTCCCGCCTTTTCGTACTGCTGAATCGTCTGCTGCCGCCACTCATAATAAAGACCTTGCAGTTCATGTACCTCGGATTGTGCGCGAGCCTTGTATTGGTCTAAAAACCTTGGATTCGGCTCAACTACACATTTGTTGATTCGTGGGAATCGCTTCGAGAGCATATTCAACACCGGAGAGTCCATTTCCCCTAAAAAAATAAATAATAATATTTGGAGAGTTGATTTCAAAATGACAGAGGAAAAAATCCCTCGATAATTGGAGTAAAATTAATGTAGACATTGTTAATAAAGTTAATGAAAACAAAACATTTATTGACATTTCTCGATCTCTGGTAATTTTGTAATTGCGTTCACGTGTTTTGGACTGTGTTCACGAGTAAACCGGCGTTAGGCCAAAAAAATTGTTCTGCTTCCGGTTTCATTACCTACCCTATTCTGACAGCCCCTACCCTAATTTTGTTTGTGAGAAAAATGAGCACAAAACACCCAAAAACCATCAATTTCTACCCTTACCCACCTGATCCACTGCCCACTCCCAGGACCCGTACCTCTTCTTGTCCGTCCAGTGTGAGTTTACCAACCACTGCCTCGCCGAGCACACCGTCCACCCACCCGGGGAACACGCTGAATTCAGAACAGCGAGCGCGGAAGATTTTGAACGACTTGACGTAGTGGTCTGGATCATCCGTCAGATCGTGCCATAATCTTGGCTCCATTTTCGGACCCGATCGCTGACTAATAATGCGACTCTTATTTTTGGTGCGGACGTGCCTAGTACGAAACTGTTCCCATTTACTAGGCATATAGTTCAGTCGGAAAAGGGGGGTATCGTGCACCCTCGGAAATCAATTTCTAATCAACGTTTCTAGGTCAGAAAAAATGCGTAAAAAACGATTTGCTATATTAAAAAATTTAAAAAATGTCCCACGTATTGTTTTTATGCAAATTAGTGCCGCCATTACCGAAAAATCTATATGTAACTATATCTCAGCCAATATTGCTGATAACTGAACAAACTAGGTGCCTAAACCCATGTTTTCAAGGTCAGAGATCACAAAACTATTCTGGAAGGGACCACATGTGTCTGTGGCATAGGAATATGCAAATGAGTGCCGCTAATACCGGAAAATCATGTTTTTGGCATATCTCGGCCAATATAGCACATTACTACACCAGTAAGGTGTCTAAACCCACGTTTTGAGGGTCAAGTATCATAAGAACACCATTCACGAAGTAACTATGTGGGTCTTTGGCATGAAAATATGTAAATTATAAAGTGTCGGTTTATCAGATATTTGATTTTTAGCCAATATCTCGGCCAATATTGCACATAACTACTCAAGTAAGGTGTCTAAACCCATGTTTTGAGGGTCAGGTATCATTAGAAAACCATTCACGAAGTAACTATGTGTGTCCTTGGCAGGTAAATATGTAAATTCTAAAGTGTCGATTTATCAGAAATTTGATTTTTAGCCAATATCTCGGCCAATATTGCAGCTAATGTTGACAGAAGGGTTTTTGATAAGCAATAATGATCAAAGTTTATTTTCAGCCATCATATTCAAAATAAACTGTAATATTGGCTGAAATTGAATACAATTTGGCTAAAAATCATTTTTTTGATAAACCGGCAATTTAGAATTAACATATTTTCATGCCAAAGACACACAAAGTTACTTCGTGAATGGTCTTCTAATGATACCTGACCCTCAAAACATGGGTTTAGACACCTTACTTGTGTAGTTAAGTGCAATATTGGCCGAGATATTGGCTAAAAATCAAATATCTGATAAATCGACACTTTAGAATTTACATATTTTAATGTAAAGACACACATAGTTACTTCGTGAATGGTCTTCTAATGATACTTGACCCTCAAAACATGGGTTTAGACACCTTACTGGTGTAGTTATGTGCTATATTGGCCGAGATATGCCAAAAACATGATTTTCCGGTAATAGCGGCACTAATTTGCATATTCCTATGCCACAGACACATGTGGTCACTTCCAGAATAGTTTTATTGTGATCTCTGACCTTGAAAACATGGGTTTAGACACCTAGTTCGTTCAGTTATCAGCAATATTGGCTGAGATATAGTTACAAATATATTTTTCGGTAATGGCGGCACTAATTTGCATAAAAACAATACGTGGGACATTTTTTGAATTTTTTAACATAGCAAATCGTTTTCTACGCATTTTTTCTGACCTAGCAACGTTGATTAGAAATTGATTTCCGAGGGTGCACGATACCCCCCTTTTCCGACTAAACTAATAGGCAAAATACACTCAAGTACAGTATAGCTAACATGTGATAACCTTTTGTAATATTGGATGTACTTTGACCTTGTTAAGTTCCCGCGACAAGCCCTACACGATAACAAAACAAGCTGATTTACCCGATCATAGATCGAGTATATAGGGCGTATTTTAAAATGTGGGGAGTAATGTAAATGGGGGATTTAGTTGAGAAGACATGCAGTTATAGAAATGCAAAAGATAGAAAATCAATAACCCTATTAACTGATTAGGCAAGGAGATTATCAATATCATGTAACAGTAATTCAAAGTCAATTCAAAGCTTCAGAAATTCACTTCCAAGCTTTGTTAATGTTGGGAAGTGTAAATATCTGGGAAGATTGGTTTTGGAAGAGTGACTGGTGTTCAGCAAAAATGAAATCTTAAGAAATATTGCCAAGTTGTCAATATATATATGTACATGTCTCCGGGGGTACCTGCATTCACGGTGTTGCAGCTAAAGACCAATCTGGGCACGCTATCAATTATATCACGAAGAGGCACCCTTCAATGGCGAAAGCATGTGCTAGAGCTATTGTTCCGATAAACCGTCAGGGGCAATACTTTGTACAATAGTGTGCAGAGTGGTTTCACCATTGAAGGGAGTCTCGTGAAAGTTTACAGGCATGCACGTGCAATTTAGGGGGCTCTTTGAACCCAAAAAATAGTCTGTCCGTCGATCTGTGATAAATCACGATACGCGATATCGCGTCGAGGAAGGGATTTGAATTCCGCGTTTCTGAGATTATTATGACGGTAACGTTGTAATCGAGGAGTATGTTATAAAATTATCACCGTAACGCGTTATCGAGGAAGGGATTATCGTTAAATTCCGCGTTTCTGTGATCACGGTAACGCGTTAACAAGTTGAATTCCGCATTTCTGTGATAAATTATCACGGTAACGCGATATCAAGGAAGGGATTATCGTTGAATTCCGCGTTTCTTTGGATTGTCTATCTATCTTCGTGGTTCAATACAACCACGTACGGCCGGGATCTATCACTGGACACGAGAAGCCCACGAACATTGAAGGCGGTGCGGCAATAGAGAGCGCTGCGGCTGGCGTGGAAATTTATTGATGCCTTGATTTATTGATGCAGCAGTTTATAATTACAATTACTGCTTGATCTAACAAAAAATCTGCTAAATCATCCAGAATTAGCCTACACTAAACATTAAAAACAATTGTACTCATATATAGATGTTATACGATTTTCTCTTTGAAAAGCAAAAAAGAAATAAAATGTAAAAAAAAAAAATAATAATCATAAAATTTTCTGTAAAACAATGAGCAGGTTAATATTTAAAAAACAAAATGGCCGCGTGTCTAGCCTAGCTTCCATTAAGTTATCTCAACGTTAGGAACATGCCTGCCTATCCCCGCTAGTAAAGTATTCAAGGGTTTGTTTAAAGTGATTGAAGCATGTTCAAAATAAAATCTGCTATATTTTTTTAATAAGATCGCCGATTTTACAGAATTCTGCTAACAATCTGGTACGAATTTCCTTATGCTCTATAGATTTTTTGCCGGATTCGCTTTTTTTCTTCAAGCAGTCTGATGTCAAGTCCAGCCGAAAATCGGTTAAAAATCTTGTGCGGTACAAATGTACACCATTTTCGTCTGCTCATTTTTTTTAACCAGATCCCTCGTCCAATTAAATTGGCTAGATTGACGAGAAGACGTCACCAACATACCTCTGACCAATGAGAGACAGGCCACGCGAGCCACGCGTGCTACGTCACGGATACTTCCTGGAACGCCCTCCCATCCTATAAAAAATAGGGCATTTTTTTCCTGAAACTGATGCTACTCCATCTGGAAATGAAGACTATTCCATCATATTTTTTTCTTTTTCTGTAATTGACAATTTCCATACGTGATGAAATTGTTGGCATTATGTTTTATATGTATAAGTGGAGAAATTTAGAATGCGGAGAAATACACACTGAATACTTCGGCCCAAGGCAGTGCAAAGACCAGTACGGAGCAACAGCCAGTGATATAAAACATGACACTTTTCACCTCCATATCATTACGCCATGGAAATTACCGAGAACGGGGCCGGGTCAACGGACACTGTACTGGCGCAGGCAGCTCGCAATGTCTTCCCGCTATTTTTGGTCAGTCACCAAAAATTGCCTCAAATTTCACAAGCACTAACCTCCGAGTCTGCCGTCCAGCTTCAAGCCTCCAACGCGGAAACGTGTACATCATACCATGGAGTCTTCACGGGCGCAAAAAAACATCAAATTTGGACGCTTGGAGTCTTGCAAATCGACCAGAAAACCGAACTCATGTACGGGGTCACTGCAAAGCTTCGACGCAGACATGTTGCGTCGTCGTCACCCATATTGAAAGACTGACTTGAACTTTGCTGTAGGCCTACAGAACTTGTCATTACTTTTGTTTTAAAGAACTGAACTGGACTTCGCAAAGCATTCCTTTGAATGCTCATTTTGTGCTGAACTGAACTGAATGGACACAGGAATTTTTGTGAACTCATAATTTTGTCGAATGATCTGAATGACGTTTTTGGAAAATACTGAAGTCAAGCTTTTGGAGTTCGTCGGGGTAAGTCCAACTTTAATTAAGGAACTATCGAGGTGAGTGAAAATTTATCTTCTCCTCCCGTCACACAGAACAAAAAGTAGAAAAAGCGTCCCAATATTCTGCACTTTGAGCAATATGGTATATGATATATCCGCCTGCATTTTAGACTTCATTTCGAAGAAAGGTGGATCCAGAAAATATTCATTCTTTTCTTTGACTTTGATCCTTGAATCGTATTTAAGTAAACAAAAATGTAGTGTTATCTGCAATAAGCATAATGTATTGCATTCTGTACATGAGGTTGTATTTTGCATTGTTGAATATTGTGCGATAAAATTCGGCAATTCTCTTTAATTAGCTAAAGAAAATTGGAATATCGACAAGCACGAAATAATCATGTGTGTTTGTTGCCAACGAAATCGCGTCCATTTTAGTCTACATTGAGTTAGTCTTTTTCATTGCTGAATAACCTATTGTACGTTGAAATTCCATTCCTGTAGGCGAAAGCCCTTTTAATTTAAAGTTATTAGCATGTGAATACCTGCCAATTTGTTTGTCAAAATCATACATGCACATGCCTTTTGGTGCATTGCGCATTTCATGCATTGTGTCAAAAGCTAGCTCGTGGTGGAGTCTGCACATGAGCCGCTCGCGGCCGGCGCAGTGTGGGCGTGGTAATAGATTCCGGTGATTCTTATTGGTTGAAAAGTTGAAAGGCCGCGCTCGCGGTATGCGGCCAGGTGCACCGTTTTTGCTACACTTTTAAAGACATTCCAGCAAGGCAGGGGCTTATAGGGATTTACTCAAAAGTTGGAGTAAACATGTTTAGATTTTCGTTGGAGGGTTCCTTGGAATTTGGATTGCCTCTTTGTTATCATTGTATTAAAATTACAGGTTTAAAACTTACCAGAACAAAATAGTTTCGAACTTTTATGTAATTATTTAATGATGAAATGAAAAACCTGAACACCATAAAGGAGTCAACAACGGAGCCAACGGATTTTATCATAAACCTGAATTTATTTAATGTAAGCACACTATTTTGAGAATTATAGGGCGGTATTCCAATGGACCAAAATCAATTTTTTTTTTGGACAATGTATCCACGGATCTCAAATTTGTATAAATTGCTCAAAATAATTAACTTTACACCATTAGCTTCAGGGTAACTTGTATACTATAAATACTACTATAAGTTCAAGAGGACAGCAGAAGAAAAATATTGAGAGCTGAATGATTATGATTATGATTGTATAAATAGAGATGTTATAACAGATAGCCGACGGAATTATTTGAAACTCAAATGAATTGGAGAAGACCTGTTGTTGCGATCGAGACCAGCGAGATTCGACGTTTGGAAGAAGGCAAATAAGGCAAAGTTATGATTGTATTAAATGAATGCTTACGGTTCAGGTTAAGGCGTAGGATTGAGGTGGGGTAGGTTGGGGTATAGGCACATAGCGCGCGTAGGCAGCCGAGCACACCAGCAGCAGCGTAAGGGAGCTTGACCTGGCACAGCCATGGTGTAAAAATTATCTTATAAAAATATTTTAACAAAACAATTTAAAAATTACCTTTTCGGGGCACAGTAAAAATCGTCGGGCAAATCGTAGCCTGATCCTTACAAAAAAAATAACGGTAGTCAATTAAAAATGTGCATCGAGGTAGTGCATCGTAATGGAAAAATACAATGTTATCAATATTAGAAAATTTCTTTTTAATATCAATGTTGGTTTTTGAAATAAGTAGACACACGTTACTGAGCTCTAAGCTTACATGGGTTGATGAGCATCCGTCATTTAAAAAAAAAATAGGAGGACATCGTTGGGGTAGTTTTCGCGATATTATAATTGTATGTATGATATCGTCTTCCCAAGAAAGTGTTCTTGGTGATATCTTGTAGGTGAGATGCCGTCTTCCCGAGAAAAAAATATTTCCCGGGTTGATGATATCTTGTAAATAAGACATCGTCTTCCCGAGATAATGTCATCACGGGTAGGTGATATCTTGTTTGTAGGGTGAGATGTTGTCTTCTCGAGAAAAAAAATTTCTGGTCGATGATATCTTGTAGGTGAAATATCCTCTTCCCAAAAAGAAAACATTTCTCGGGTTGAAGATATCGTGTAGGTCAGATGTCATCTTCTCGAGAACAAAAATATCTCCGGTGGATGATGTCTTGTAGGTTAGATATCGTTTTTCCGAGATAATATTTCATCACGGATTGGTGATATCTTTTAGGTGAGATGTCGTCTTCTCGAGGAAATAAAATATTTCTCGGGTTGATTATATCTTTTGGGTGAGATGTTATCTTCTCGAGAAAATGAAATACTTCTCGGGTTGATGGTATCTTGTAAGATATCGTCTTCCTGAGAAGATTATTCACTGGTTGACGATATCTTAATTTTCATATTTTCCGATACCAAATCAGTTAATTATTTCATTAAAACGGATGATAGATGTCTACCTTCCGTGATAAAAAAAATATGATTTTATCAACTCATAGCTACTACGGAGCTCTTTTAAATATAATTATTGTAAAAAAAATTAGTCCTTTACTGAATCAAAATCATTAAAACAGCTTTTCTAACTGGAAAATAAAATGAAAATGTATGTCCGAAGTTTAAATCTTAAGTTCAGAAAAACTCGATGAGGTTTCCTGTTTTGAGGGATATCAATGAATAAAAATTAAGGCAAAGCTAAATATGTAGCCAAAAAAATTACAAAACTTAAAGTGCATAAAAAGCAGGTGGTAATAAAATAATAATACATCAATAAATAAAATTTTAAGAAGCTTTAGCGTGCTGCAAAAAGCGAGCAAATTGCAGCTTGCGAGACAATTAGGAACTTTGGGAATCGGGGAGGGAACGAACGTATTTAATTTATACCAACGCTATCCTGACAATGCCTTTGTGCATTGGCAATAATAACGCCAGTTGAAGTATGAAGAAAATTAAGTTTTAACGTTTGGGATTTTATTTGAATAATACAAACTGAAGAATCAGCGATGAAGACGGACCCTCGGAGATGTTATCATATCAACAGAAATCAATGTCAATGGCATTGCCTGCGGTCGCATCACAACCATATTAGTTTGCTGATTATTTTTGTGTAAAGCCGAAGGACTTGCCTTGAAGAAATAATGGTGTAAAGATGTTCACTATGTATTCCTTTTCAAACTTTTGCGAAATAAGTCTGTAAACTGTTGTGTTGAATAATGTCCATTGGAATACCGCCCTCTATAGGTTAAAGTATATGATTGAGAAAGGCGACACCCTTGATGGGTGCTACTATTGAGAAAAGCGACACCATTGATGGGTGATACCATAATCTCACCCTTGATAAGTGCTACTTTTGAGAAATACAACACCCTTAATGTTACCATTGAGAAGGACGACACCCTTGATGGGTGCTACTATATCACCCTTGATGGGTGCTACTATTGAGAAGAACGACACCCTTGATGGGCGCTACACCATGTACTGTATTGATTAACACGACACCCTTGATGGGTGGTACTAAGGCAACACCCTTGATGGGTGCTACTAGTGAGAAGTACGACACCCTTGATGGGTGCTACACGACACCCTTGATGGATGGTACTAAGGCAACACCCTTGATGGGGTGCTACTATTGAGACGAACGACACCCTTGATGGGTGCTACTATTGATTAACACAACACCCTTGATGGGTGATCGAGAAAGACCTCACCCTTGATGGGTGCTTCTATTGATTAACACGACACCCTTGATGGGTGCTACTATTGATTAACACAACACCCTTGATGGGTGATCGAGAAAGACCTCACCCTTGATGGGTGCTTCTATTGAGAAATACGACACCCTTGATGGGTGATTCTATTGATAAAGACGATACTCTTAATGGATACTTTTATTGAGAAATATAACAACCTTGATGGGTGCTACATTGCCAACAAATTAATTCAGTATAGAATTATTAATGTATAAAGTTGTAAAACCAGTAAGAGATTATGTTTTGTAGAGAAGACAAAGAGAGTTAAAGATAATAATTATATTTTCCAAGGAACCTCTCCGCACGATTACTAGTTCAACAGACACAATCTTACCAAGCACCTGATGGGAAAGGAATAAAAATCCCGCCTCTTGGATGAAATAATTTGTTTCTTAATGCCAACGTTTTTGGGTGTCAGTAATGTATGATTCCAAAAATAATCACGTATTCGAAATGAGCACTAGCGCGCTCTCGGTTTGATTGAAAACGTCTTTCAAAAAAGATAAACGTATACAATTAAGAGGCAAAAATCTTCAAAGGAAAAATAAATCAATGAGGAGAAATTCTAGAAGCGTAAAAGAGAAATCGAAAAAAAAAAACACCCTAACTGTCAATCATTTTGTTCGATAAGAGTAGGCGATGGATATCGACTTGCGGGTATATTAAAACAGCAAATGTATCGTTCGTTAACGATTACGAGTGAGTTCGTGTTGAGTTTGAGCGCGAACAAAGTTAGCGTCAATCATTAGATCTTGTCAAGCATTTGTCAATCATTTGACCGATTTGTGTATCGGAAGAAAATAAGACATGAACCTGCGTTTATTGATTAAAACAACAAATATATCGTTCGTTCACGATTAACGAGTTCGCATTGAGTTCGAGTGCGATCAAAGTTAGCGTCAATCATTAGATCTTGTCAAGCATTTGTCAATCATTTGACCGATTTGTGTATCGGAAGAAAATAAGACGATGAACCTGCGTTTATTGATTAAAACAAAAAATGTATCGTTCGTTCACTATTTACGAGTTCGTGTTGAGTTCGAGTGCGAACAAAGTTAGCGTCAATCATTAATTCTCGTCAAGCATTTGTCAATCATTTGACCGATTAGTGTATAGGAAGAAAATAAGACGGTGTATATCGACCTGCAGGTATATTAAACCAACAAATGTATCGTTCGTTGATTACGAGTTCGTGTTTGAGTTCAAGTGCGAACCAAGTTCATGTTCGAGCTCAAGTGCCAACAAAGTTAAAAGAGTACAAGTAACGTACAAGAACGAAATATGTACACAACTACGAGTGTCTGCAGAATAATTGATAGGGCCATGTGAAATTATGATTGGGCCATGCATGTGTATGATTGGGCCAACTGCAGCCCCTGCTATCTAGGAAGGATTTTTATGTCGAAATCATGATGGGGCCATGTGTAGTAAATCGTTCTGTTTCTCTTCCAATTTGCACCATCTGTACATTTTTTGTTTAATCATGTCTACTGCTTGACATTTAAAGACAATGATTGTGAGCTGTAGTAGGGTCAATGTTTGTACGGAATATTTTTTCCGTTTGTAACAATTCGTGTTAGATATTTAGGGCCATGTGTACGAATCAAACTTTTTGAAATTCTAGTCGCGTCTATCATACATTTTCTCGTCGTTCCATATTGATTGTCATTGTGAAAAAAATCCTAGGGCCATGTGTACAAAACTGTCATTGCCGTTTTGAAGATATTTCTGCCAAACCCAATTTTTCTTGCGTTATCTTCTGTACTTATATGTGACAGATTATTTACAGGATTCCAGGGCCATGTGAACATGTCTTACTTTGTTTTTGTAAAAAGATCTTTCCAATTTATTATGCGAAATTATTTAGGGCCATGTGAAGTAGTGTAGAGATCTTCTATTCCTCCGTTCTGTAGAAATTTCTGCAATTTTCTTAAAACCTGCTTGTGCATTCATCCCGTCTTGAGTGCGAATCGTCGTGTAATATACTCTAGGGTCATATGTGTTAAATATCCATAGCCATTTTGAAGCTTAAAAAAAGCTCAAATGTTGGATCTAAGTTTTCTTGTATACTCTGTATATTCCTCAACTGTTGTAACTTCACCGTAGTTAATGGAGTGAATACTCTATAGGGCCATGTTTAAGAATTTACTATTTGTCCATGTGACAAAAATTTTCTTGGAGATCTATTGTTAAAAAAAACTCTACATGTATACTATAGGGCCATGTGCAGATCTTACAGATACATCGAAACATATGTAGCGGTCGTGAAACGTAATCAGAATGATGGTTTCAACGACTCCACGATTATTTTGTGACATGAAATAGTCTCTGATCCTTGTCGAAATGTGTCTTATGGACATGAAGTATTGTTTGTGATTTGTTCTTCCATAATATCCGATTGGCAAAGATCGATAATTGCCTTTTGTGTTAGGGCCATTGTGTCAATTTTGTTTATTGTAAATCAGGTGTAATACAGGTGTAATGACACCTGTAGCGTCGGATACACCTTGTAATCGCTCTGTAAAGTGTATAGCCTGAATTTACAGGATGAAACAATGTGCATGAATTAATTTAACAACCACAACACCAGTGGAGGATTTGATTGATGGTACATTTGAATTCTGATAAGTCCGATCACAGCTGGTCGGCAATGTGAATGTTGTTTCCCTTTGAACCGCATTGCGCGTCAGTGGATGCGCGTTGCTTTGCGCAAACTGGAATATCATCCTCGTGAGCAGTAGGCCAAATTATCTATTTGACTAAGTTTTCTTTCTCAACGGTTGAATCAATTACAGTGGTCAGGTAAGGGCCACTAATTGGATTATTTTCACTGTCTGTATGTAAGATACTTTGCATCCAAGTAGGCTTAGAGATCTAAGTAGCGTAGACCTAAATTAAGTTTCCCTTTTTTCCTCTATGGTTGTATCTTTATAGTGGTCAGGTAAGGACTACTATTACGTTTCCTTCTCTTTATACCACAGCACTGGTCACAAATTTGATCAGGAATCCACTGTACATTGTATTTACAAAACCTAGCTCCGCTAGGAAGACTTCTTTTATTTTCAGCAACTTGCAATTAGATTAGGAGGACCGGCAAGCCAGAGTGCTCATGCCAGGAGCTGCTGATACGGAGGAACCGGAAGCAGGGAGGAGGAACACCGGATGACTGAAGACCCTGCTTGCCGGGCATCCCATTACTGATTTCCCAGGTAAAAATATTAATGTTATTTTCCTTTCGAACAATGTCTTAGGGTGGTTTAAATTGTTCTGATTATTTTGTCTGCGATTAATGATACCTTATTTTTTTTTAATACGATAAATCTAGAGGAAAATAAATTTAATGTGAAATTAATAATCACTTAACAACTTCACAAAAGAAGAGCAACAGGCGCATTATTGTCCCGCACACATTTTCTTACATGTGTTCCTTCTAATCTTCTGGCAGAGATGATCGACGGTCTGCAAGATGAGATGTCATTCCGGACGAAGATACGACTTCTGAATCCCAAGGAACCGGAAGCACGGAGGAGGACCGACGGAAGGACTGATGAGTTGCAGAGCAAGTCTTCACCAATTCTTGATGTAATTTAGCAAAAGGGATTTAGATGTAGGCCTATTTTTCATTTATTCATTTTCTATTTTTGTCTTAGTCTTCGGGAAGTGGCATATCGAACTTTTTATGACAATCTTTTCACCGATAGTTGGTTGTGCTTCGAATGTGAAATGTAATATAATAAAAAGGGCCTATTTCTGTTATCTTTGCAGATTCCTCTTGTTTCATGTAAGCAGCAGAGACGATAACGGAGTGCAGTTGTTCACAAAGGCAAGGACACGAATTTTAGCATCACTCGACTGAGTTTTACAGTAGCTCCTGAAAAGTTCCCAAGTCCGTTTCTAAATGGACGCCCCGCGCACAAAAAGATAATTCAGATGGGTATTCAATGGGGTAGGAAAACATGGCATCAAGTGGATTTGGGTTTGATAGTGTTTCATTAGGAATCCCTGAAATTTGTTTCAAAGAATGTAATCGAAATAATTGTATATCATGAGAGATGATAATTTATTTCAGTGCCGTTCGAAACTGCTATACCACTGGCAGGCCTCCACGTACATGTACATGTACATGTAATAAACGCGTGTGGGGGATATATCCATTGATCTACACGTACACACACTCTCAGTGTAGTACTAGTGGAGTAATGTATGGAGATCAATGGAGTAATCGCGCGATGGGAACTAGACTATTCGATTGTTGGGCAAACCGGTTTACATTGCTACCTGACTATACTATTGTGTTTCTTCTGCAAAAATATTGCACTGCGTACCTGCGTTTGCGGAGCACAACATTCTTCAGCAGTCCCCGCAGCATTGTTTAGATTGTGGCCGTCTACGGTCTAGATCGTTCCTTGCTCTATTGTTCCAAGTAATTAAAACGTAAGGTATTTTTTTGGTGTAAACTGGTTAAAGTTACTGTCAGAATGAGAAGTATAGTTACATTTATCTTCTTGTATAAATGTTAATTGTTCGAATGAGGATTTTGGCTAACTTCTTGCTTGTCTTTGATCATTTTGTTGTTATTTGTACCGACAATGACCGAGTAACAAAACAGTCAGTACAATCATGGAGGAATAAGATCTTCCTCCATGGTACAATTGATGGTGGGCCTAGAGACAAAGACTTTATTACTTTACTGTATAGCTTGCAATTTCCAGCTTTCTTGGCTCATTACATTGGCCTAAATAGTCCGAGTAACTTGGATCCAACTTATCGCCTTTTTAACATTCGGACATGGTCTGGCGATAGTTAGCTTGAGTAACTCCAGCTGACATGCTCATATTCATTCACATGCTACATGTGAATGAATATGAGCATGTCAGCTGGAGTTACTCAAGCTAGGCGATAGTGGGGTCCAAGCAAATCCTTATATGCCGAGCAACACAATTCTGTCATTGACCCAAAAACCCAACATTGCCCAACAAAAACATCAGATTTCACCCTCAAATTTGGCCCATAAATTACTAGATACGCCACCTGAGCTACAAGTAGACATCGATGACTTAGATGGTTGTACTGAAGTTATACTTACGATCCTGATGAAAAGTGAAATTTCCCGTTCAGTCCCGTTAGCGTTAGACTGTCAATTCCTAAAAATCCATATTTTGTGATAATTTGATCATTTTGTTTTGTGATGTTTGCAAATGTTGTATCTTCCCTGTAACCCACAAATGACTTTAAATCCCTGAACCACTCGGCTACAACTCCAAAAACAAATCACCACCATCCTTGTCGTCATTTGTTGGCTTGATGGAGAAATTTCGCATTGTTTCCTCGTTGCAGACAGTCTTCTCAGCTTTCAAGCGGAGCGTCGGTCATTGGGACCATTTGTAGCGATGCATCTCATTTTCATAGCAACTGTGTTACTGACACTTACCTTTCAAGAATCATTCACAAGCAAAACACTGCCTGGTAAGTTGGCTTTTGTTTTGAAAAGGAGTACAGTTTTGTGCATGTAATCCGTTTAATTTCTGAGGATCTAGACATTAACGTGTGCAGAGCCACCCTACAAATGTCTGATATATCCATGCGAATTTTATGCGACCCCACGCGCCAGCCAGTCGGAGACCCCTTTTAGAAGTTGTGACATCATTTAGAGCAGAAATGCGACCAAAGTTGTTGATTGGTCAATAGCTGCCATGTTTTTTCATACAACATCAGGTCACCGAAGACACAATTGAAGACGTCCACTGAATGGCCAGAATCTGGAGGTCAAGATGCAGTGTTGATTTGCATAATCTGCATGTATATCAGTCTGTTCCATAGACAAAAGTAACCCGACGAAAACACCAAACTGAACCTTACCCAGTACCTAATTTCCATGTATGAGCAAAAAGTTTTGACAGAAAAGTTGAAGTCATTTTCATTGGTACATGGACTTTCTTGGGAAAGAATGTTGCAATCTGACGCCACTTTTTTCTTCATATATCATCTCAACGAAGGTCAGGCATTGCAAAAATGTTGAACAAACATGAATCTGGGACTGACAGACTTTTCTAATTTTGTTAGGAAATACTTAGAAAATGTTCTTGACTCTCCGTAGACTTTGTACACAACCGCCGAAGTGGTGTCTGGATACTACATTTATTCCCTTTCTTGCATAGTTGATTTTTGTCTTATGCTGTACGATGCAGACTTTATTGAAATGGACAATCAGTTGTCCTAAATACGCTTTTTCTTGAACTGCTTTCAGATGCCTCAGTGAGGTTAGTAGGAGGCGCGACACGTTGCAGTGGACAGGTCCAAGTTTACCAGGGGGAATGGATGAACCTCTACCGCACCCACTGGGGCGAGGCGGAGGGGCGTGTGGTGTGCCGTCAGCTCGGCTGTGGGGACCTGGTCTCCCCTGATGCCAACTACAAAGACAAGGCCAGCGCGTACCCGGTGTGGAGCGAACTAGTTTCCTGTACGGGAGACGAGCTGACACTTATGAACTGTAGTCACAGAAGGAACGCAAGTGATAGTCTTGGGCCGGAGACGTATAGGGCGGCTGTTGCTTGCCATCAAAATGACCTGCCAAATGCACCAGGTAAAGTTAGGGGAAAAAAGGGGAAAAGAACCCAGTAAATACACCTTTCGCATTAAGGGTAGAGTACATCATTTGCAGCTATCCAAAAGGTAACTGACAAAATCATTGATGAAAAGCTTACTTGGTTTAAAGATGGAAATGGCACTTAACTTTCTGTTAAATTATTCTTTCTGGCATGCTGTCGTTTTGAAGAAAACAATAAAAGAAGGTCATTTCCAAAGATGTGTCATTTGCTATAATTCGTCGGTACAGTGTGTGACATCGCATAGCTGCAATCGGCTGAAAGAGAACTTGTTCGGGACTCGGCAACTTTCGAATTGAAATTGAGATCCTAGAATACTGTATTCTCGGAATATATAGCATTCACGTAAAACTTCATCAGTTTAGATGTTAAGCACCCTTCTTTAGGTTTGGAGCACTTTTGTTGCTTCAAACGAAAAAAAATGCACAAATGACAAATGATGTACTCTATCTTTAAGGTGAAGTTACCGGCCAATGGTTTTCTATTGCTTGCTAGGATAGGCAAAAGTAAGCCTTTTGTGCATTCATTGTGGATAAATTCAAATAACATAGAAAACTCTAGGTCTATTAGAAGATGCTAAATGGGCTTCCTCGAGTGAATTTAACACTCTTGCATATTTTGTGTAGATGATATTCATGTTTTGGAAGAGTGTGAAAAATACATGTATGTGAAGAGTGTGAAATTTGACACTTTGCGTGCATGTTAGGTCTGGTTGTTATGAATGCTGTCTCAAAACATCCGTAAGACATTAGGAAGTCATAAAGGTTTGGCATGAAAAGCCATCACACTGCTATGATATCTAAAACATGATATATAAAAATAAACTATGATTGGAGGAGGATCCCCCTTGATCCCTTTAGTACTAAAGGTAAAGGTTAAGGAGGTGTTCACAGGAACGGAGTGCCCATCTCTCTTTCAAAGCGATTGGGCCAGGCTCGAGTCCATGAAATGCTGCTGTGGGGGGATCGCCACACCTCCTCAGCGAGTCTGTTACCTTCCCAGCATTGTGTACTGCCGGTACCCATATAACACCTGGGTTGAGAGGAGTAATTGAGGTAAAGCGCCTTACTCAAGGGCACAACACGCATGGCCATGGCGGCCGGGCTCGAACCCACAATCTCACGATCATGAATCCTGTGCCCTACCGCTAGACCACACTTGCCCACAAGTGAGCTAAAGCTGGTTGAACGCAAATGATTATTGCAAGTTTTTTTGGTGGTTTCATAATACCAGAGTCCATGGCAGTCCGCCTTATCAACGGAACCACTCCCAACTCAGGCCGGGTCGAGATCTACTACAATGGCGAGTGGGGGACCATCTGTGGACTGAACAGCTGGTCGCTCACCGACGGCCACGTGGTGTGTCGCCAGCTGGGATACGCATCCGCAGTGGCCGTCAAGGGTTACATGGAGCCGTTCGGTCACGGCTACGGATCCATCCTGTTGTCGTTTGTGGATTGCGACGGGCACGAGGAGAAACTGGGCGACTGCCGTCACGAGGGATGGTACCGTCATAATTGTGACCATTACTATGATGTCGGGGTCATCTGCAAAACATCAAGTACGTGTCTGTTTAGTTTCCGCCTTGCGCTTGCCAGTGATAGAGACCAGTTGCATTGGGGAAAACAAACTCCCTGAATCCTGCAAAATCCTGCGCCAATGACTGTCAATATGTTGAGGCTTTTTTTTTGGCCAGTGACATCCTGGAGCAGTTCGGAAGATTTCAAGCATAATCCAGGCCTATATTTACGCATGGCTGAGCAAAAACAACAAAAGGTCCGGCCCAAGACCTTGACAAAGTGCATCCTACACAATCAGTAACACACTTTTGCCATGTAACCTCAATCTTCCAAATTCCTCCACTTTGGCAAAGAGGATTTTGAAGAATTCAGGGCGATTAGGGTTAATGCATTAGTTCAGGTCAGAAGCCATTTTGGATAAAGATGTCTTAAGATGTATCAAAGGTTGCTGCTGACCTTAAACTTGGTTAATTGCAGAAAGTACCACAAAGAACCAATACGACTTCATTTTGTTGAGTTTGATGTTTATCCCGAATAGTCTACAACCTGCTATAGTTAAATCTTGCACAGTTGGAATACCCAATTAGTTATAGTATTATCAAGCTTCTCCAGAATTTGAATAACTTGGTGGATATATTTTAACCACGAGACAAATCTCTGATGAAATTTCCCCCCCAATCCAGATGAAACTGGCATTCGACTTGTCGACGGCCCGTCGCAATACGAGGGGCGAGTGGAGCTGTACTACAACGGCGAGTGGGGTACGATATGTGACGATGGCTGGGGCATAGAGGACGCCCGCGTTGTCTGTCGTCAGCTGGGCTACGGGCCGGCCATCTCAACCGGGAGGACTTACGGCCAGGGTCAGGGTGCCATACTGCAGTCCGACGTGAATTGTCATGGTTGGGAAACCTCGATCATGGACTGCGACATGCCACGCTGGTACCCATCTACAGCGGGTTGCCATCACCGTGAGGATGCCGGGGTGAAATGCAACATACCAGAAGGTATATTGTTATAAACGAATCCGATTGTGAAATTAAGAGTGACGGTTTGGTGTGCCAGTACTGGGACCCTTCCATGCCTGAACGCTCTTTGCATGTGCGTTCTGTATGGCTTTGTACTCCAAAAATGAAAGTTTTATTATTCCTAAGTTTACCAAGTGCCGTTTCCGAATTATTTGACTAAGGCTTGCAATTTTACATGTGCCTTGGGAAAGTTGAAGCCACCTGCCTTAGACATTTTGTGTTACTGCCGACCCTAGCCACGTAATTTGGACGGGGCCTTAGCAGCCTAATCTAACTATAATTCCGGAAATCTCTGTGTGTCTGTCTGTCTGTACTTCGATTATCTCTAGAACCGGGCGCTGTATGAAGTTGAAAATTGGCAGGTGTATTGCTCAGGACACCAGAATGTGCAGTGTCAAGTAGAAAGTTGTTTGGATGAGCGGTTCTCGAAAAAGCTGCAAATTATCCCCATTAGTCTCTTATAAAAGATTTGGCCTGTGTGTGCGTGCATAGAGCTAGCTGACCTTCACTGGGGGGCTATTCCATTATCAACAATGGGTACTTCACTGGGGGGCTATTCCATTATCAACGATGGCTAAATAAACAATGGCACACTTTTCTTCCTCATGTTTTTTTACTATAATTCGAGGAATCTCTGTGTGTCTGTCCACATGTACAAAAATGTGCGTTCAACCTGTGAAAACAACATTGAATCGTGTGCATTGTTTGCCTGAGCAGTTGTCAAAAATGCTGCAAGCAACCAATACCAGCGGCCAAGCAATTTACCCCTTCCGAACACATTTTCAACCCGCACTGAACTTGTGTCAATTAAAACTAGTTACCCGTTGCCGAGAAGAATTTTAACGTTGACCAAAGAAATTGACTGTTGACTGAGGTAGGGTTTGAAACTGCAACCTCCGGATTGACGTTCTGGTGCTGTACTAACTTAGCTGCCTAGCCCTATGCTAGACGGCTCAAATTGAGCTCTCTTGCATAAGGCTGGGCAGCTAAGTTGGTAGAGCACCGGAACCATAATCCGGTGGTCGCAGGTTCAAACCCCTCTCCAGTCAATTTTTTTTTTTAAACTTAAATAAAAGAATCCAAAATTGTCTCTTTTGCATCATTTCTTAATGTGGTGTTGTTTATACTCTCGTACTAGAAGCTAACGTTCCCACTTGGTTTTTTTTCACATTTGCTTAGATCCTTCAGTGAGAGTCCGCCTGACTCACAGCTTTTTGGATTCGGAGGGTCAAGTGGAGGTGTACCACAATGGGGAGTGGGGAACTGCTTGCAGTAATTCCTTTACCATACGGGAAGCGGACGTCGTCTGTCGCCAGCTCGGCTACCGAAAAGCACTCAAGGTGGGGTGGAAGGCGTGGAATTTGCTCGTCTTTTGTATGATTGTTGGCATATCTGCATTTGGCATTTGGTTTCTGGTATGCGCGCGTCGCCAAAATGAAAAAGGTTTTTTTTCAACGTAAGATGATGTCTTAAAACCGCCAAACTCACTGGTTTGACTGGAATCCTGCTGCTGCACAGTTTTAACATGTTTTTAGATGGGGTTAGGATCGAGTATAAGCTTTATGTGGCCTCTCTGGACTCCCATATATTTGCACTAAATTTAGTCGGGCACCTTTTATAGTCATCAGCCGACATTTGAAGAAGAAAAAACGGGTAAAAAAAAAAAACCGGCAAGCTCCATTCCAGAAACCGGAGACTTTTTTGGGGGGCCTTTGTATTGAATAAAGGAAGGCATAAATAGAAAGTGATAAATTGAAAACCAAAAATCGGTAAACGGGTGTTTCATTTCACTCTGCCTATTTATGTGCATGTGCACTTCTGTTAATTTTGTTCAAAAAAATTAAGAAGCAAACCTACATGTACAGCTGGGTAATTTTTCTAATTCAGGGTCCACTATTTTGTTTGTTCCTGTCATATGCGACATTTAACAATTGTTCATTGCTGTGATGTGGAATATGACATTTTTAACACCTGAGGGGCATGCCGAGGGTGCTATGCGCCCCGAGGGGTTAAAAAATGGCATATCCCACAATGCAGTTATTAACCAGTTGGCGCTGGACACCGTGTATACACGCAGATGTTTTGCGGTATTCGAACGGATGACAGATAAACATGCAGGGAGCGAGGCCGGAAATATCTGTCAGCGACCCGCTCGCAGCGAGCAAGGCCGGAAAAATATGAGTGTGCTGTCGAGGGCGATGGCTTCAACCCCTCTGGCATGAGGTCGAGTGAAAAGTAATCCCATGCCTCGTTCCGTTCTTGTCAAAATATTCCCGGCGCGAACTGGTTAAGTGAGTAGTTTTGTACAAAATTCAATGTCTGGCATTAAACAAAGATTATTTCATAAATCCCAGAAGTTTTTAGTTTCTTACTGACCAAACTTTACAAAAAAAATTGTTCGTTTAGGTCTTGGAACCAGGCCGCTACGGTGATGCAGAACTGATCATTCTGGACAATGTGCAGTGTGAAATAACATCCAAAAAGTTGGAAGATTGCCAAGGATTGGTGTGGTACCCAACGCATTCGGATTGCCTATTGCAACACACAGCAGGCGTTATGTGCGACATCAACGTAATACCAGACACAGGTACTGTATGACTTGATTTGTTTGTGTGTGTGTGTGTGTGAAAAGTTTGTCACCTTGAACTTCATTTATGGTATTCACTATTAGCCCAGAATCACCATATTGCAGTGCTGCAGTCGAGTCCATCACCAGTCCGATCATAGTTAAACCCGCAATTCGGGCGATTCACAATGCAGTGCGCCACCAAGAGTTTGCCACAGAGAGTTCATTTTTCCCAGTGCATTGTGGGAGATGGTCGACAAATTCGCAGCGCGAGACATTTGAAATTGTTCGTTTTTCCAGTCAGCAGTTTCGTAAGCGTATGATTCGAGTACCTGTTTGCCCTTTTCTTTTTATTAATATGGTGTTTTTTGTAAGGTGGCAGAACGCCATGCCCCAATCTATAACAAATTAGCTCAATTTGTCTACTGACACTCATTCAAATGGGCCATGTTTTGTCGTCTGTAAACTTGAAAAATGGACTCTCCATGACAAACTCTTGGTGGCGCACTGCATTGTGAATCGCCCGAATTCCTGACACAAGTAAACAAGGGGTGAAAAATAACAGGAGAATTCCTTTGACACGTTTATTTGAAAAGCCTGTGACTTGACTTGAGACTGAAGGACTTGTGATGGGGTCGTGAGGACTTGGATGTGCTCGACTCGACTACAACACTGCCACATTGGCACAATGAATAAAGCTGCACATGCATAACACTGTCGTCTTCGCATTGTTACCGTTGATTCCTAGGCTATCCTGTACGTAGGAACTCCTTTCGGTGGCCTAAGCTTGCATGTGTAGTGTCAACTCAATGCCTAAAATGAAATAAGTAGAATCATATGTCAAAACAGGGTGGGTTTGGTGAACGAAATTGCAAAAATTTATTATAACGGTCGTTTTGAAGGCCGGGTTTTGTTAAAATGTAGAAATGAGCTCAATTTGTAATGGCTGAGACAGCTGCCATACATGTAGCCTTACGAATGCCATCTGTAGAAGAGCTAGGTGTGATTGTACTGTTATTACAAAAAAATGTACTCACAGGAATGGAGGCTTCACAGCGATCAAGCACCACATCAAGAAAGCAAAGCCAAAGAACGTCTAAATTAACTAAAACCCTCCAGGTAGATTTTGGGACAAAGATGTCCTTAACAATAACCATGGTTGGTATAAATAAAGTCGTTTGGAAGCTTCAGGAGGGTTAATGGCCTGCACCCCCAAAAGAGCGTTGCACATATGGAAGCCTTTACTATGTAGGTGGCCCCTCCATAACAAATTTCCTACTGTTTCTTAAGGGTCGAATATAACGCCTGTTCTGGCAATTAGGTCCAAACTCAAACGAGTAAGATTCTTCAAATGTGTTGTTGTTCTTTAAAATCATTGCTTTTTGTTACGCATCTGTGCAGTGTCGTCGGTAAAAGTGCGTCTGACAGGGGGCGCTGTTGAGAGCGAGGGCCAAGTGGAACTGTTCTACAGCAACCAATGGGGCACGGTCTGCGCCTCGGGCTTTGACATGAATGCCGCCACGGTGGTCTGTCGACAGCTGGGTTACAACAACGCCATGTACCTGACAACGGCCGAGGAGTTCAGCGACGGGAGCCGACCGCTCCTCTTAGACAGTGTCAAATGTCGGTTGGGGACGGAGGAGAACATCGCCCGGTGTGGGCCTCTGGAGTGGTACCGCCACGACTGGCATAACTGTCAGCCCGCAGAATCCGCAGCGGTCGCCTGCCATGGATCCAAGATTGGCGGTGGTGAGTTTTGCACCAGCTTTTTTTTTTTTAAGCACTTGGAAAATTCTGCACACTTGGGAAGCCTGTGTCCTTGGGCAAGACACTTTATCACTTATTGCCTCTCCCCATCCAGAAATATAATAGGCATCTGTGATGGCCGAGAGGGTTGTTGTGTTTGAAGAACCCTTTTCTGGCAAAAAGTATATATTTATAAAGTTTACTCCCCTCAGAAGTGAATTGGGCCTAAGAATGTTTTACCAGTCCGATAACCATCACTAATAATGATGTGCTTTAATTTTAATTTTAACTTCGTGAAAGAATAGTTGTCTTGATTATTACGATCAAATTACCATGTACAGGGTGGATTAAAAAAAAAATAGTGGTTTTGGTTGTGTCATTTGTTACAGAGTGAAAGGTTATGGTTGCCAATCAAGGCAGGTGGAAAAAAAAAGAGAGATTTCACTATGAAAAGTGGCGCAATGCTCTAAATAGACCCTTTCATAAAATTGGTCGCTGCTCAGTCAACTGTGAATGTAAGGACATGATCAGGGTGTCATTTTAAAGAGGAGATTCAACCCTAACAGAGGATATCTCCCTTTGATTTACACGTGCCCTACTTCTGTTCCAATTAGCAATAATATCTCGGTTTCGTTTTTTTTTTTTTATCCATCCTGTATATCTTGAACTGTCGGTTTTGCTGCCTTATTCATTCATTGAAGACCCAGTTTGAATATTTTTAAGCCTGTTTTTTATCTCTTCTTCTTTTCTTCACGTCTGATACTCGTTAGACATGGAAGTTGTTGTTCGCCTCAGCAATGGGACTCAGGCGTCCAACGGAAGAGTTGACGTGTACCATCATGGTCAGTGGGGGTCTGTCTGCGGGGCAGGACTCGGCAGAAACGAAGCGCAGGTCATATGCCGCCAGCTGGGCTATAGGAGCGGGGAACCGGTGGAGCGGTTTGGAATGTACGGTAGCGGTGCAGAGCAAGTCAGCATGTGGGCTCTGACGTGCACCGGTGAGGAGATACTGGTGGATATGTGCACAGACATTGAGTGGTACGACGGTAGCAAACATGTCTGCGACAAGGATCAAACAGCTGGTGTCGTGTGCAAACAAGCAGGTGAGCAAAATCAAAAGAAAACGTAACCTTGAAATGTCCAAATCAATCACAATATCAAACATGATTTTCTCTAAACTTGGCTTTGCTGCTGTGGGCAGATTTCACAAAGTCAAAATCAATCGCAAATATGAAACTTGATTTTCTCAAAACTCGGCTTTGCTGCTGTGGGCAGATTCATCACTTTAATCAAGATGACGTTGTAATGACACGAGAAGTACTTCTGGTTCGGTGGTTTTGGCTTAATTTCTGGTTGTGTGTCGTAACACCAGTCTGTCATTGGACACCTAAGTCCTACTTATGATGCCAAAAAAATTCATGTTTTTTTTTTTTAAGTTAGCTTCAATAAAACACCTCTGACTGTGGTCTTCCTTGTGGGTTTCTGATAAAAAAAACAACCCCAAGGAAATTTTATATGCATATATAGCCTGAATTACAAAACCTGGGAATGGGCGACTCTGTTAACCTATCGCAGTAGAATCAACGCAGCTTGCTAAATATTGTCCAATTACATGATTTTCAAATAGACGCGCAAAATCTGAGACAAACAAAGCTTATCGTACAAAATTCCATAGGCTTATCTGAGGGGCGTGGCTTAGTCGCAAACGGCGATAGGTCAATTCGGGTGATTCACAATGCAGTGCGCCACCAAGAGTTTGCCATGGAAAGTCCATTTTCCAGCTTTACGGTCGACAAAACATGGCCCATTTGAATGAGTGTCAGTAGACAGCTTGAGCTAATTTGTTATAGATAGGGGCATAGCGCTCTGCCGCCTCACAAAAAAAACACCAAAAGGGCAAACAGATACTCGAATCATACGCTTACGAAACTACTGACCGGGAAAACTAACTTTTCAAATGTCCGTGCTGCGAATTTGTCGACCATCTCCTACAATGTACTGAGAAAAATGAACTCTCCGTGGCAAACTCTTGGTGGCGCACTGCATTGTGAATCACCCGAATTATTTAAACGTTTCATTTAAATATTGTTCTGCAATGAACAGTCTCTTAACACAAGTACATGTACAGTACATGTGATCATCCTAATATCGAACGAATACTCATACTTTTTGCTGCAGGATAATGCTTATCCCACAATGTAGAGACATGGCTTTGTTTATATTGAAAATTGCACAGACATTGCAATGACCATATGATTTTTCTCAAAATGTGTTGTTTGTGTCTTGTACTACTTTGCAGACGGCAAGAGTAAATCACCCACTCCAGGCCCTCCGGTGTATGCAGTAGTCATCATCATCCTGCTTTCTATAATCGCAGTAGTGCTGCTTGTGGTTCTCAGCTACTGTGTCTTTCTGAAGCGCTCAAAAAGGAACGCTGCAGCTACACAAATGAGGTACGCTGTCTTGGACAAGCAAGACAATTCCACAGCGTACTGACGAGGTTTGGAAGAGCGTCTCGGATGGAGTGGGCCAAACACATGAGGTAGTGAGACCAGGAGGTGCCTATTTGTTTTCAGACGGTCGCATGGACCTCATGGATTCTCCTCTGGAGTATGTATATGATCAAGGATTCACTATGACGTGGGTCTGGATATTTTTTTGTACGTTTGAGGGTCGGACTGAGGTTCTGTGAGTTGCTATCAGTTAGATGGTGCCTCAGATCTGTCCCGACAGTGAAGTGAACCTCAATGAATACCTCAAGTCTCGACCTCCCAGCAGAAAAGATTGAGGTTAGCGCTAGCAATAAACCTTGGCCCCACCCCATTTGGTGCTTCATTTTGGAAGCGCGTAGAATTTATTTGGTACAACTAATGTGACAGTGACGTTGTATAGTTGGAGACTACTAATGTTGTGTAAACCCGATTTGACTTTGCGATTTTCAGGATAGGTCGGTCAGTTAAGCCATCTTGTGAAAAACCCGAAATTAACTGGAAACAAAAAAAACAAATAGTTTTCAAAACTCACGTGGTGCAATATTGTTGCAGAGTCCCTGTGCCCGGTACTGCGCGCGTACTACCTTATGTTAACATAATTTGCTAAGCAATTTCTTCTTTGCTTAGAGCCTTTACAAAATTTTGCCCCTGGGCTTGAGTATTAGGCTAAGATAAAAAAAATGTGTAGGGCTGTGCTTTGTGGATTTCAGCAAAAGTGTGGCATTTGACCCCAAAAACACACAACTTATACAATAATAATAACAAGATTTATTGCGCGATTTTCGCAAGTTTCAATGCGCGACTAAGGACCACCCCGGAAGATAAGGTACAGATTTTGTGGAGAGAACGCATTAGTTTTCAATCTACGCTTAATGTTGTCAAGAGAACTGATATTACGGATGTTGTGTGATAAGGAATTCCACTATCCGGGACATTTTTCATTGTCTGGGACATTTTTCATCATCTCTGTGAGACCGCTCACATATTTTGAATAATTGAATCGAAAAATGCTATTTCAAATATTAGGTTGATGATCAATTGTTTGAATATTCGTTATATTTAACACATCTTGCCCATAAAGTACTAGTTTTAGTTAATTACTTTTGCCCATTTTTATACTTATCTTCAAGTTAACTTGGATCCTCGATCCTAATTGGTCGAACCATGGCAACAAGCCGTGCTACATATAGCCATGTAGCACGGCCATGGTCCATACCGTACTTCGCGTATTGCAAACACGGATAACCGCTGAGAAGTTTGTGTAGGCTTACAGCATGCTTGTTCCATCCTTACTGTGCGTCATGTTTGCTTTAAGATAAATTCATATCGCGCTCGCGCTCGCGGAACACGGAAAATGTAGTGCGTCGTGTCCCATTCCGTGTTCCACTTGTGCTCGCGGGATACCTAAGAGTGGAGTTGTGGATACACATACCAGTACATGTATTGTAGTCCAGCAATATGCATATGGTGGTGCACGTGCTGTATTCCAGTATTGCCCATTTTTCACCGAGTGATTAATGGACAAGAAGGCAAATTTTAACCACCACCCTTTAAAGTAAAAGCTAAAACCAAAAATAAAATTGACAGGGTCATTTAAAAATACCTACTTCATCAAGTGACAGCATTGTTGGTAGAATAACTTTACTACTTATTTTAAAATGAAAATCTGAAAAATATATGACTGGATGGTACTAATTTTCAAAACACCGCTCTAAGTGTTTATAACCTTTTAAATGTTTTGTACTAAATCAACTCAACCATTAAGACATTTGAGGTTTTGAATTCTTTCAAATACCAACATGTATAAAGTTGGATATTTTCTGCTTTTTATTGTGTATATATATCTTTTGTATGTATTTATTATTGGTTGTACTATGTGCTACATGTATTCAGTAAATGTTACTGTGTACTATTAGTGTTTTATAGCAGTAGATGGCAAGATTTTTAGGCACAATCTTCAACTGTGAAATGGTATTGCTCAATTTGAGATTTGAGGTGCTGTTTTAAATTCACACAATCTAAAAGAAAGCATTTGTAGCCCAGTTAAAGGCCAATATTCCTGTTTTCAATTATGTGCATTGTGTTACACCAATCGTGTTACACCTAGCGGGCGTAGCCAGTGTTCTCACCATATGGGGGGGGGGGGGGGGGGGGGGTTGGATGTTACAATAAGGGAAGGCCAATTTCAAGTGGGGGGGGGACTGGAGGCGACAATTTTTTTTGGGGGGGGGGGGTTTCCCCCATGCCCCCGCCGCTGTTTACACCCAAACTGTTTACATGGATGCAACTTGCAGCACACAAAGACATGCTACGTTTGTGTGTCCATTCCCATAAGCCGGAAGATACAGTATTCCACTTCAGGTTTTGGTGATCCCCCTCCCTCCCAATCACTCAGACTGAGGCAATGTGGCTGGAGGGGGGTGGGGGGGGGAGGGGTGTTGAGCCCCCGAAGTGGAAGTAAGGTCAGTAGATACAGGAATTGGGAACAAAGTCATGAACAAATATCATGCAACTTAACAGGGACTTCAACCTTTAGTTGATGCATGGAAATGTTTCTCCATTGTACAACTATCAGTTCGTCTGAGTTACACAATGCAGACCAGATATAAAAAGAACATAGACAGTAATTGATCAAGTTCGGTTTACTAATTTTAGAATGTCAAGATAAGAATGAACTCTAAATTTTGAAAGGGTTTTACCACGTATTCAAATGCATATAACCCTATACATATATTTTTGTATTCGAAATTATTGTATTCGTTAATACATTGTACTGAGTTTTGTTGGGCAACTTAAAAGAAATCCTCAAATTTGACGTTTTTATGTAAATGTAATGATAATAAGAGAAGCTTCAGTGTGGGAAATACATGTAGGTGGCTTTGGAGTGAAATTTTGTTCATACACAGTTGGCGTTAATTCTTCATGGAACGTAAAAAGGGCGGTGATTTCCAATGATAATTGGCAGGGTGGACATCCGGTCGGTGACCCATAATGCATTATGCACATAGACAACTCCAAGGGGGAACAGAACCCCTCTCAACCAGGATTTGTGTTTTGGGGGCTCAAAAAAAAATTCTCAAAACAAATTTTTTTTAGAAGTAAAATTTTTTAAAAATAAATTTGCCCAAAATTTTTGGCCGCAGAAAAAAATATGTGTTTGTGTGTGTATGGGTGAGCTTGTCTTACATACGCAGTGTGGACTTCCGAACAAAAGACGTCCACATAATGTAGGTAGCACCGACGTTGTGTGGACTTACCCCACGTCCACACAGTGTTTCCCCATTTCTGGAAAACAGGTTTAGAGGCATTTTTGGGTTAGGTTTATCTGTAGCAGAATGAAGAGAAACACTAAAGGGAATCATAGAAAAACAATTGGGTTGAAAGAGTTTTCACAGTTTGAGAAAAATGAGTTTTTTCACTGGTTTTTCTTAACTACACGAAAGCAATGGAAAGTCCACACTAGTCATGTGAAACAAGTATGGGTGTGTGGGTGTGTGTGTGTGTGTGGGAAGGACTATTTTGACGTTGGTGGCGCCACTGACACCCCTATTATACTACTCGAAAAAAGGCCACATACATATCACCAAGGTTAAATCGTGGAACTAACATTAAAAAATAACAAATTGACAACCTCGGGGGGGGGGGGGGGGGGCTCGAGCCCCCGAGGGCCCGCCCCCCCCCCTTGGGTGCGCCACTGCAGTAGTATCTGAAAAGATATTAAAAAAAAACAAGAAACAGACAACTGTACAAGACAACTAACAAAAACACTGGGACCGGGTACGGGTATTCAGGCATACAATTCTCTTTTAACAAAAGTCTGTTTATAGTCGACATACAATAAATAAGCCTTAGTTCTGTCTGTGCATTTACGTATTGCATGTGACCAGTACTCCTGATAATACACGATTCAGATACATCAAACATTTCGGGCAAGCCCTGCTGGGTTTGCATAAAAAGGGAATGGACTGTATTAAAAAAAAAAGGACAAATCATCACTTTTTATGGCAAACAATGTCGTCCCTCGATTAAAAAGGAAAAACTAATTGTGCATTCATCACTCGCGGTTGATAATTTTGGGTCGGGTCATTGTTAAAATACTGTTATCAATGAATGTACATTGTACACATGTAGTTTTATTTTCAACTCCTACCAAGTTCCCGTTGTACAACACTCGATACCAAGACAATTTCAGATTCAGTCCACTTCTTACTGAGAAAAAGAAAAATGATATAAGGAAAAGGACATTCTGATGGAGGAATTCTTTTTTATATTTTTAATCACAAAAAAGAACTTGACATGTTGGAAATCATTCCTTTGAGTGCAAAATCCAAATAACAACAATGTCCAAGCCAAACAACAGGCCTATGAATAAGTGGCACTGTGCGTCCAATCACTTTACTGAATACAATCGAATATTGGCTTTAAACAATCGAATTTACGATGAAACAACTCAGAATTATGCATTGTGGCCATCTTCACGTTATTTTGCTTTTTAATCATGATTAGTTAAAACAGTCATACTTTCGACAGCTTTCAGAGTCTAAGATCAAATACCATTTAAAAACAGGTGTTTTATTACTGAAAAAATTTGTTTAAAATTCCGTAAAATACCTACACGTATATATGTCTGCATACTTCTGATGTAAGAAACATCGAAAAACATATTTTTTGATTAAGTTGGTTTTTTTTACCGTTTTTTTTACCCCCCCCCCATCAAATTAACAGCAATATGGCTTCGCACCTCTTTTCCTTTTTTTCCCCTTTTATTTTTGGTTTTCCGGGGGGGGGGGCAAGTTCCCCCCCCCCTTTGCCCCCTTTGGCCTCCCCCCCCCCCCCCCCCCCTCGCGACGCTCATGGCTTGTATACCGATTCGGTAAGAAGACTAATCGCAAACCTTGATTTTGATTGATTTCTCTGTAAACAAATATTGGTGTCGATTAACTTTACAGGATTTCTTTCAGGTGTCGATTGATTTTACTGGATTTCTTTCAGGTATCTAATGTCGGTGTCAGCCAACTTCTGGAGTTGTGATTTCACGAGGGCTACGTCCTCATCGGAACACTCCTTGATCGCTTCATTGCTCAGACCTGTAAACGGGAGGAAAGATGAAACAGTTGCTGATACTTTTCATGTACAAAAATACATCACTTTTTTATTATCATTCTGGTTTATTAAAAATTTGAAACAGGCAGCCACAAGGCTGACATTGCAAAATTACATATACATGTATACGGAATGGACGTGGAACGTGTACAATCTGAGATGAACGAAACTGAACACACACAAATTCCATAGGGTTGTATAAGGGGCGTGGCTTACTCGCAAACGGCGATGGGTCAATATGAAACTCAATAGGGACTTTAACCCCTAGTGATACATGTATTCAGTATAGGCTACAGTTGATATACAATATATAGAAATGTTTCTCCATGTGCAACTATCAGTTCATCTTGAGTTATGCAGACCAGATATAAAAAGAACATAGACAGTAATTGATCAAGTTCGGTTTACAAATGTTAGAATGTCAAGATAAGAAGGAACTCTAAATTTTGAAAGGGTTTTACAAGGTATTCAAATGCATATAACCCTATACATATATTTGCTGATACTTTTCATGTACAAAAATACATCACTTTTTTATTATTATTCTGGTTTATTAAAAATTTGAAACAGGCAGCCACAAGGCTGACATTGCAAAATTACACGGAGTGAAAAGGATAAATTCAAACAATTAAACCAAACATTTAAACAAAATACACTCTTGTAAAGTAACATTAGGTAGGCCTACATAAGAGAATGTACTAAAAACTCTTGACCCATAATATTTAAAAGCCAACAAAAACAAACGAACAACTGAAAATACACAACACACGAACAGCAGACCATGGGACAGATTCATAGATAAAGATGAACTAAAAAAAAACACAGGGCAGCCAGACAAACACTGAACCGACCGACTTTTGACCAACAGATAGACACAGATAGACAAGCTGACGGACTGACCAAGACAAACAAAGACACGGCCCGCCTGACAAACAGACTCAGGCAGACACACAAAACGAAAACAAACGCATCCATTACGACATCAAACTTTCAACAAACAATCACACGATGTTTTGACTGCAAAACAAGATCTTCTGACAATGCGTTCCGGAGCTATTAGAAAACATTTTTTTTTGGATGGGGGGGGGGGGGGGGGGGGAGAGACCGGGGGTATTGTCCTCCCCGGTCCTGATATGCCAAAACAAAATCCTAAAGATTTCACCCCCTAAAAAAATATATGAAAATTTGACATTTAGGCTAGGAAAGCCCAACTGCATTTTCCTAGCGATATTACTGTGCTTTCGAACCAAAAATGAATCGTAAAACAGTCTCTATTCCACCGCAAGCAAAATATGATCCCTTCCTATTCAGATTACTGTGCAGTATTTATACAGTATGTCCTCAAAAAGTGACCGTCTGAGTATTTGTTGTTTTTTTCTAAATAACTACAAAATCATGAAGTCGGTTTTGATTTCTTTTTTATTGTGCAGATACTCCTTATAACCCTATATGAGTTTCATTTTATTTCAGGATTAGGAGTATCTGGAAAAAAAAATCAATATTGACTGCATAATTTTATAGGTATTTTAGAAATAGTCAGACGGACACTTTTTTGGGGACAAACTGTAGAGGAATCTGAGCCCCATTTCAAATACGGGGCTTTGTGACATCGTACCTCTGTCTATGATAGTCTCCAAACCAGTGCCTTTGTTCGGTGGACACTGAGCTTGAATAGCTCTCATGACCTCAAGGGTAGACCGCTCCTGAACCC